TTTCTAAATATTTAACTTATAAAAACTAACAAAACACAACGAAAAAAAGGAATATTCACCAATTTTTGATAAAATAGATTTTTTTCTCAGTAATTGCAAATAAGATAAAACTTGAAATTATTACATATTTTATACAAATTATTTTCAAGAATTATCTAAACATGATATAATTTTTTAAATATTTTTTCTCTTGTTGATGACATTTTTGTTTCTGGATTATGTTGTTTGAATGAGGAGAGAAAATATTTTTATCAAAAATTATTGAAATAAAAAAAAAAAAAAAATGAAAATATTAAATTACTTTAAATAACACAACAAAGTATTAAGATGCATATTCCTGTCACAAAATATATTTAGGTTATACGAAAATATAAATATTTATACCGATCAATGAGATGATGACGAAAAAAAAAATTAAAAATTAAATAATATTATACACCGTTGTAAAATCATTATATCCATTGATCTGATTAATACACCATCACCGCTTAGTATATTTTCTCGTATATAAAGATTTATTATTGAATTCAATTTTAATATAAATATTATTATAATTCACTTATTTATGAAAGAATTTATATATACCAAAGTTGAGTAAATTTTCTAGATTTTCTCAATTGTTTAGTAATATTTTATTTTTTAAACTGTTTTTCAAATTTTAAATAAAAAAAATATTTTTTATATTATTAAATGTGAATAATACAAAGACAATATATTACAAAGGAAGTATTATTATTATTACAAGTTATCCGTATTTAGTTAAAGGATATTAAAATACATTGTTTGGATTCTGAACTAACATAGAAATCATTGATTTTATTCCATGATAATATAATCCTACAATATTATTTTTTGTTTGTCAGATGGGTATAATTTATAAATTTTGTATTATCATTATTTAATATTGATCATCAAAATGTTTGATATTATCACCATTTACCAGTAATTTTAATTATATATTATTACATAAATTAAAAATTGTTATCTGTGAATAGCACGCTTTGCAGAATTATTGCGATGCGTGACATTCTTTGTGGTATACATAATTATTTTCCTAACTATCGAGAATTCAAAAAATTAATTCAAATACTAAATTATTTAAAAGTATTAACCACTTGTTATGTAGTATAGTTAAATTTAGCACAATTGAATTTACTAAACTAAACGAATAATATGGAAATACAAAGATAAAATTTACTAATTTTATAAAATATCTTCGAAAGCTGTAAATTATAGTGTTCCTAAAAAGTATGTCTCATTTAATTTATTTATTCTGATGATGTAAACTTTTGCAATGTTATTATTTCAGAAATATATAAATTATAATTTTGTAATAAATTATATTTAGTGAACTCTTCTATAATTTAGTAAATTCACATTTCCACTTAACTTAAATAAAAACTAATATTAATTTGTGTGTGAATATGGGATATATATACACCTAATATTTATGTAAAAATATATTAAAATGGTCAACTTAAATTGTCCAATAGTCCAATATACAGACTACTTGTAAATAAGGGATCACTTTAATATTCCTATTTGTTCATTGAATCAAGGCTACTGCTGAATAAAATTAATTATTCTTAAGCATTTCTTGCTGAATATGATATAAAAAATTAATGACAAGTGCTTTTAAGTGATAGCATAACTGAAGGTATTATGACTTTTTTTTATATATAACTGTTGAATTTTATTTTATATGTATCGAATATGTATTTGAATATAATATCTATATCGTTTATCTTAAAATACTATACTATAATATAGTACATTATATAATATATATAATATTAGGTGCTATTTGTTATTTTATTTTATAAGCTTTCAATACAACCGCAGTAAAATTAAATTTTTTTGTTGTTGAATTTTGGGTTGTTACTTGTTGATGTATCATATGGGCATTTGAAGACATTATGATCTGTTCTTGATGTACCTTATATAATTGTGAAGTTTAAATTTGGTTTAAAATGATAATCATATATGATAATAATTTGATATATATATATATATATATAAATATATTTATGGTTTAATTAAATTTTTAAATTTCATTTTGAAAGTGTGATCCATTTTGATCAATATTTAATATTAAACCCTGGGTTATAACTAATTATTTCTGAAATTATGTTTTTATTATATTTTAAGTATTTTAAAATTTAAAATTTTTACTTTCAAAATTAAAATTAATGAGTATTTTAAAAATGTTCCTATCAAAAACATAATTTTATTAAGATCAGATTATTGGTTACACATTTAAAATAAAGTACTATTATACTTGATAGATATTTCGTATACTAATAAGAGAAAGGCTTAAACATTTTATTATATTCTTAAAGTATAACAGTATTAATAATCGAATTAAATTATTAAATAAGACAATAGCAGATTATTTTTTCTTTAAATTTAATGTTTGATGATATTTTTGTACATTATTTTTGTTGGTTATTTATTTATCAGTTATTATTTTAATGTTATATAATGTATATTACATTATCTGATATAATAAATATTAAAAACTTGACTGAAATTGTAGATAAATTTAGTCTAGTACTTTATATTACATTCTATTGAATAAATAATATTAATAGAGAAACGTAACTTTTTATTTTAAGTGCTAGAAACATACAAAAAGGCACTTATACGTATATCCAGTGAGTGTTCTTATTTAACCAACCATACTTAGGTTTATGCGTTCTAAGGATCCTAGTTGAGATATTACTTTGACGTAAAAATCATGCATCGTAGAAATAATTTATTTTATATTTTTGAAGTTAAAGCATAGATTTTTTATAACATAGATTGAATTTGAAATATCATCATATTATAAATCAAAATAATTTTTTAAAAATAAAAATTATTTTTGTTGTGGATGAAATATTAAAATTAATTTACTATTCATTATATATTTTTATTGTGGTTTATTAAGTCACGTAACAATAAGATTATACATTGCATATAGCTAAATATAATATATACGGACATATAGGATGCTAAAATAATAATGATGGTGAAGAGGATATTCGATATTTTAACTTTTAGTTTTATAGTATTGAAAAGTAGAAATATATTATAGTACAATAAATAGTTTATCTCTTGAAAAATTTCAATTAATAATTTAGAAAAATCATAAACATTTTTAATTATATGATAGGCAGATTCATTTGTTAATAATATTCGTGTATAGTTATGAAAGTATGAATATCAAATAATATTCATATATTATAATCATATATTCACTTTTTTCTAGGTCAACCCTTCTATTTAATTTTCTAAAATTAAATCTTAGGATGTAAATTTAATATTGTAAGTACTAACTCAACATAATATGTTCAATGCTCAGATTTTTACGAGGTGTATGCATTATTTGATTCATAACGTGTAACAGTTTATGAATCAAATATTAAAACTGTAAATATGATTTCTTGGTGGAAATAATATTTTTTTTTTTGTAAACAAAATATAAATTTGCAAAACAATGTCGAATTCACTATAAAATTTAAAGGTTATTTAAATGTATGAATGTGTTTTTCTTCTAAATCCCGGTGTTTGTGTCTCGTATAAATACTGTAGGTGTTCGGTACTGTGTGTTTTTTGATTTGTAAAAGAATGGTACTTATACTAGGTATTTAATGATTTATTTTATGTTAATAAACTAAATCTTACCTAGTATTCACGTACAGTATAACTTAACTATTTTTGAATGTATCATCGTATGAAAATCTGTTACAGGAGTTTAATGGATTATATTTCACTACCTTAAGCATACAATACATTTATACTTGCACATTTTAGGAGATAAAACTTTTTTGATTTTTACTTTAACTGTTCCAAAAAACAACTAGTTTTTGCAACTAACTTTTAGTTAAACTACTTTCTGTTCTCACCAAAAACCATCTCATGTTCATGTCGTAGACTGCAGTGCACACGTCTTAGTAATATGTTACAATACTTCACAAAAATTCAATTAACTTTTAAATTTATTCATACCGTAAGATAAAGTGTGATGGTAAAAATAACTTTTTATATTACACTAGACTTATACTTAGACATACGATAATCACACATGTATTACATATGAATACTGTTATTAATAATTTTTGTGTTTAAAATTAAGTACGATTATATTTTGTCATCTTGTTTCTTTAAAAGAGAATTCGAGTAAGCTTTGATAAGTCATGTGATAAAATACGTTAAAATTATGCTATACTTGTATGTGATATTAAACAAATTAGTACTACTACCTACAGTGAAATATGAATCATTAATTTTTATATCAATAATGAATGTGTCGTACCCTATATTTTGCATTTTAGTAGTTTTACCAAAAAAATATAACAATTATTCGGATGTTTTAATTTTTTGGTACCTATACAGTACATGAACATTACATGGTTTTAAATTCTTAACACTTAAGAATTAAAATTATTTTGGTAATTTTTGTATGGTGTTTAATAATGGATATTGGTGAGTTAAGGTAATACGACAATAGGTTTTTTTTTTCATGTTTATTTACGTCACACCCAGTTTATGGAGTAGGATCAATGAAAGGTGTGACGTCAGAATAAGTAAGACTTGTTTATATTGTGAATACATTTAGGAATATAATATAGTGTGTTATTATTTCATCCCTTAAATTTATAAATGAGAATTAGCATTGATTTTCTTTTATTTTCAATAATTATAAATCCTTATCTACATTCTGCCTGTATAGGTTGAATTTTGTATTTGTATTATAAAGGATTTAAAAAAAAAATATTTTTAGTATGTTTTAAAATGCATAAAAGTTAACTGAATTGAAAGTATAACATTTTCAATATTTATTTATTTTTTTTTTTTTTGTGTTACTTTATAAAATGCAATCTAATTTATGCAAATTAATTTAGCATTTGTGTTAAAATAAGTTATTAAAAACAATACACCTATCTATCTATCATATTTTATTAAATACGTTAAAAAAAAAAAAAATATCATTATGTTTGACCTATTTTTATTTTTAGAGTTTCAGATAACGAATTAATCACAGTAAGAAAATCATCATGTCGGTGCCTAAATTGCCAACCGATTTCCGGAGGGATGGCTTAGCTCTGATTACTCGCATGGTCAGAACAAAGGATTTGGACGATCTTCAGGGTGAATCAAGTCCACCAGGACGATTTGATCCACACCATCCAACGAAATTAAAAGTAAAATTATTTTAAAATTATTTCATAAATTGTATGATATTGTAATAATACAAACACATATCAAAGCGGAGTATACTTAATTCTATATTTTTATGGTATATTACAAAAATATAAGTTGTAAATGGATCACTTTCAATGTATTGAATAGTTATTTCAGTATTGAATATTGTCAATGTTCTAGATTTATAAATTATTATGTAACAGTTAAATTCAATGTTATTACATTTTAATCTTACTATATAATTATCACTGCTTTATGTCGTTATGTAGACAATCAATTGCTATAATATACATGACTTCTATAAGGCATAATATATATTTAGAACTTTAAAAACATTTAAAAGTTAATGTTATTACTATTGTCATTTTGTTTGATAGAAGTTACTATCGTACAGAAAATGATATTACGTTATTCACGACAGATGAAAGCGATATTGATATATTTTTCAATGGGTGGGACTTGAAAAGAAGTTCGTGAGTGGTTTGATTTCAGATTTGACACTGTTCCAAATAAAAGAGCATGATTGTATATAATAACATTAATTGACGTTATTTTTTTTTACTTCAAAACTTTTCAGTTGTATATTATTGAGGAAATTCAAATTGTTTGACCAAGAACTTTTCAAATAAATAATTTAAAAATAAAACTATAAATAATTTATTTACAGTTAAATTCATTAGTTTCGTGCTTTATAAATATTGATAAAAGTTGTTATTTTAAATTTGTAAAATACGCAAACAATTGTAGAACATTAAAATGGTTAAAAATAAAAATGAACAATTTAGCTGCCAATATAATATTTAATTTTTCATTCACGAGTGAATACGAGTGAAAAAAAATACTGACTTTAATAGAATTTTTAACTATTCATAATATAATTGCTAAGAAAAACAATTTGTGTAATAGTAATAAATGTATCTTAAAATCACGAACATTTATCTTGAAAAAACAAGTTTTATAATACGATTTAGTTATTTATCGTAACATAACACCGGTAAACTTTATTTGTTTATAAATTATTAGTTGAATTATATAAAAAGTTTAATGTACACTGCATTAAACTTATGAATTAAAAGGAATTTTCGATTACACTTTTGGCTAAAAACTTTAGTTTAGGATTTAGTTTATTATCGAAAAATAATTTTCAACCGAATGAAATCTGATATATTATAAGTAGAACATTTAAGGTGAATTAATAATAAAAAATGATCAAAATATGAGGTTTCTAAAAGACTAAAAATAATAATATCTGAAATAAAACAAGATAAACTGAATTAATATTTATACCTACTACAATAACAGTGCTTACTATTAATTGGCTGTTCTGCTACACTATTTTGATAATTACAATAATTTTTCAGAGAATATCGATAATAATATGAAAAATATTATATGATTTGACGTACAATTTTGAACGATATTAATGCACAAAGTTATACAAAGATCATGAAAACAAATTTAAAAAATCATATTACTGCTGTTTTTGTCAGCACTCCAGTATACCTTAACAATCTCTTTCGTCTACCATTATTGGTTTAGAAAAATGTATAATATTAGTGTTTTAAAATATTCAAAACAAAAACAAATTTAAGCGAATTTAATGTTTCAACGTCGGGAACACTTTATGTCAAGTATTCTTTGAAGATAATTTGGTCGAAAACATGAAATGCTATACTGAGATTGCTTGAGAGATGCATGGAATGATTTGAGAATGGGTATATAGTTAAGCGCGCTAGTGGTTCTCTGACGCTTTTGTTGTCCGTATAATTCCATCTAGTTTACTGGCCTCTTTATGCGCATTTACTTACAGACTGTTCGTAACTGACACAAAGGGACGGAGTGATGAAGTAGTAGCGATATATAGAGTCCAGTGCTCTTGGTATATACATATTATGTGTTCCAGGTGATCGTATGTGGCGTTTACCTACTTACGCGGTAAAATATTGATTAGACGCCAACTCCACGAGTAGGGTATGCGTAAACTCGCGGGCGGGTGGTAGGTGATAGTTAAGGCGGGGGTAAGGGTGGGGGTGGCGATATTGTAGGCGAGAAGGCCGGTTTTTTGAAAGGGAGAATTATTGTAGAGCAAAAACATTAACATATATTGAGGCCAAGATATTATTTTAACATTGCATGGTTATAATAACACTGTATACTTACTCCAAAGTTTCGTTTTTATACGCGTGCGTGTTCGTACACTTAGAACGTAGGTGGGTCGTTCTTTTTAGGTAACATGTGCAATAAATCTGTCGTATCGTGTCCACGGAAATAAATAATAATAATAAAAAAGCCACGAGACTTAGAAATATAGCAAGAGGAATGAGAAAATATAATATTTACTCTGAATGAAAGTTGAACTGAAGAGCAACGACCCAATTACGCGGGAGGTTACACACCGTGACAAATAGCCGTCCGTCACCTTCGGTTAACGTGACAACTGTTGAAATGTTTATTATGGTGAAACGATATTTTTCACGTATTTTAAGATGACCTCCTGACGACAACTATAATTCCGTAGAGTGCCAGTTTGTTTGCTTGCCCAACCGAAAATCACAGAACATGGTTAGATATTTATCGGGAATTTTCGTATTTACTACTAAATTCATAAATTTTAATTTGTTTTATGTATTACGCACCTATGCTAATGTTTTGATCTATATGGTCTGTTCTTGCTTTGAACCAGTTGAACAAGAAAAAAATTACCAGCGTAATATACCACGACCAACGACGTCAACTAAAATATGTATTCGTAATCTGTGTTTTACTCGCTTCAAAAATTGTCATTTGGTACATACCACATAAAATATAATAAACCATCATATGCGTTATATTGAAATTATTATGCGGTATATGAGAGTAGTTGGTACGAAATATAAATAATATTGAATTCGTCGTCGGTTAGACAACATTTTGAGGCTATGGGTAATTATGTACCTACATGATAAACCTCTGCAGTCTTGTATATTTAAGACTCATAACAAATAAACACATTTGTAATCTATAGAACGTACATAAAAATTTTGTTGTGGGTAACAGCTTTTATTGGATATCAATATTTTACATGGCCATTTGTCAATACAATATGAGTTATATAACTGTTTGTTCTGAGGAAAATTGATAAGCACAATGTTTTTAACCTTAATCCATAATATTAAATTGTACAGTACCCAATACTTATCCAGTTTATATTAAAGTATTGGATTTATTAATAAAAATTAATTTTAACAATTCACTACGCTAAATGTTATCCCAATTTTGCGCAAAGTCAGTTTTATTTTAATCTATTGCTTTAAATTTACTATATTTCATAATTTGGTCTTCGATTTAAGTCCTTTATTCATAGTGTATTATATTATTACGAGTGGATAATATTATAATAAGTATGTATTATGGAGAACTTAAATCAAAAATGTTGAAACCAGTCTGATATAATTTAGCTGCAGATATTATTTATATATAGGTACTCGTAATATAGTAACGCTATATTTTCATGCTTGTAATTGGTTTTTTTTATACGTTATTATATTTTTTTCTGATGACAGTTTTGTTTATGAAATCATTGAACCACCAAATTGTTTTTACCACATCACACGACGTTAAATAATAACCACTAATAAAGTATTGTAGCCATGTTAATAAAATATATGATATATTTTTTTTAAATTGTTTATAAACACAGTTGCTTGTTAATATGTTTACTTATATATTCTGAACTATACATAATTTATCTAGTCATTTCACTTTTATGTTTTATTTATTAAATTTATCACCATAATTATAATTTATGATTGTACACCGTTAAAATTTTGATAAGTCATTAACAAATAACAACAAAACGGAAAAATATAATATACCAATTAATAATATATTAATAATTTTACACAAATGTATTTTTACTTACTATTATTTACTAATAAGAAATAGTTTTAAAAATAAAAATAATTATTTCTGAATGATTATATAATAAAATAGTTTTCTTCGAAGATTTAATTTATAAGTTATATGAAGCTGTTATAATATAGTTATAATTATAATGATATTGTAAATTGTTAAATACCAATAAAAAACTTTATTTAAATTTTAATAATTTATATTTTTATCCATGTCATTATGAAAATTATTTTTTCATTTAATAAAATAAGTAAATTATATGTATTAAAAAATATGATTTAAATTTAAGGAATTTTGAACACTAAATTTATTATTCATAACTTCAATACTATGATTTAGCTAACAAAATATAACAGTAAAATATATTTTAATAATAATGGTTTAATTGTGTACATTATTTTAGGTTCATAACTTTGTTAGACAGATTAATTGAATTTACCAATCATTCTTCATTTACTCTTATTGTAGCATTATCTTTATATGATGTTCTGGATTTTTAATACATTATACTATACCTATATTATATTATAATAGTATGTATATTTTTTATTTTATATTAAAAATCGTAACAACTTTTAGTTAGATTATTGTGACATTTTAACATTTTATGATTGATTATATTTTCACTAAAATTCAAAATATTAAAAACCAAAACGAATTTTATATTAATACAATACTATATTATAACTGAATCATTTTTTGAATTTTAATTAAATTAAAAAAAATGTTGATTGCTAATATATTGTATTGTTTTTAGTTTGACAATTTTACTTTTACATATTTACGTTACAGTTCTTTTTTAAAATTATTTAAATATAATATTGTGCATATTAATTTATATAAAACACTTAGATTTTTAATTTTTGGAATTGAAAACAAGTTACCAAATTGATTTCATTAAAAGCCATAGAAATGCAGCACTATTAAGTTATTTTTAACTGAAAAATAACTAAACCAATATTTATATCATTCCAATCAAAAGCAATTAAATCTGGACAGTTTAATTTTCAACACAAAAGCGCTAAACTAAAATTTAATACTCACCAATAATATATCAATATTTTATTTCCAGTAGAATTTTTTAATATGTTTATTTGAAATTACACACACTATATAGAAATTAATTTTAGGTATATTAAAAAAAAAAAAAAAAATCTAACTTTTTATCAGGGAAATCCTTAAATTTTAATTGGCTTGTAACTTTAATTAAATTAATATTTTATTATTTACGTTTGTAATTTGACAATCGTTTAAGAATCAATTAAATTTATTCAAACCATATCATGGATATTCACATTATACTTAAAAAATATAATATTGTGTATTTTTATCCTATGTCAGACTATTGTAAAAACGTGAATAGTCGACTTTTTCATAAAAAACCTGTTTAACTATAACTTAAATATTTATCAACTAATCATACCGATATTGCACACCAATTTTTGTCAAAAATTATTAATGTTCATCTATACGCATTTAGATGTAAGCCATTTAATGTAATATAATAATTGTTTTAAGAGTAATATTGAATGGACTAATTTATTAAGTAAGATTAGTATTTTTGCTCGTAATTATTTAATTAGAAATTCGAATTAATTTTTGTACCTTTTATTAAAATAAAATATTGCACTGATTCTCTTTTTGAGAAAGCACTTTTGTTCAGTGGGTTATTTAATTTGTAATAATACTGATTAATTTAATATGACTCATGATTCTTTTAGTATGATAGATGTTTACTTTTTTTTTTTTTAAACTGATTATTCATCATTTATACTTGTTTTTATTATTATGTTTTAGTGCTTAAATTTATTTTGATTATTCTTAGTTATTATTATAACGTATAATGTAAAGAGCTTGCACCGTAAAACTGTAAAAATAAAATTAAGGTAATGTATGGTCTACGTGATTACTGAAAATAAATAAAAATATAAATTTTCGTGTAAAAATTAAATAAAGGTTTTTTTTAAATGTATAAAATACTTTTTTTTGCAAACTCGTTTTTGTATTTTAGACATTTTAGTCGTTATTATAAAACCATCTATAAAGTTTCAATCGTTCATGTTGTCAATCGTAACGACCTTTCACCATTTTTTTTTTCTTTCTAACAGTTAACAATGCAAATTGTAGTATCAGTTTCATTTAATCGTAGATCATTTATATTTAAACAGATGGTTATTTTTTGGGGAAAAAAAAATAACACAACAATAATTTATAGGTAGTAGGTACTAAATCTAATTAGATTAAACGCTAAAAATATATGAATCAAATGCATGTATCTAATTTTTTTATGAAAAATTTAATCACGCCAGACCATGAAACTGAATTTTTTATACTGTGTTATAAACACAATATATTTTGTGTTAAAATATTATTTTATATTTTGTTGGTCGGTCAGAACGGTAATGACAGAATGATTCTTTTTGAAAATATGTGTATAATATTTTATAAATTATTTTTATTTTTTACAAATAATGGACATGACATTTTCTGAATTTCAAAACGTACTTCATAATATTTGTATATACAAACCATGTACTTACAAATGTCCAAATTTACGTAAAATCCAAATGTTTGTTTATGTTTAAGAACGAAAAGTGAGATTTTAATATAGAAGCGTTTAAGAAAAAAAAAAAACTAAGAAACTTACGATTTGAATTAAATGCTAGATTTTAATATATATATATATATACATATTATATGTAATTAAAGTAAAAATAAGATTAACTATTTTTGCAAGTTTATAAAGGCTAGTGAGATGTTTGATTTACAAAATATTTAATAATATTTAATATTTGATGAATATTCTGTATGTAGTGTACTACTGTAAGCATCCGTGTAGTGGAATTGCCTACTCAACGTGCCGCGACACTCAAAAATCAATATCGTCATCTGGCGTCGGAAGAAACAGTTTGTAACAAGAATTTTTCTCCTAAAATCACGACGTCCTAAATTAAATAAACGCCATTCTAGAACAACTTTTACTTTTTAAAAATTACCATCATCTTATAAATTTAAGTTTTATTAATTTAAAATATCATAAAATATTATATATTACAAAAACGTTGAATAAATTATAAAATTAAAATTAAATTATTTCTCAAAGGTCACATGTATCATATTAAATACATATGTATTCTATTCTATTAAACCGTTTAAGATATATAATGTACAATTAATATAATTAAGTACAATTATTCTTACGCGTAGAATTTTTTAAACTATTTAATTAGTAATTACTTAGCTACAATATCTAATGTCACATTAATATCATATGTTTTATATATTTTGTTTTTTTGTTCACAGAAATGTCTGAACACCATTGACTTGACCTCTCTAGGTGTCGGCTCATGTTTGGGAACAGGCATGTATGTGGTCACTGGACTAGTTGCTAGGAGGTTTGCCGGCCCTGCGGTTATCCTCTCGTTTATTATAGCCGCTGTAGCATCACTATTTTCGGGTAAGAGCTAAATACAAATATATTATTATTGGTATATCAAATAGAAAATCACTATGTTTCTATAATAATAAAAAAAATAAAAAATATCACATTTGACGTAAATATTAATTTTGTTATTATTATTATTATTATTATTATTACTGTTGTTTATTTGAAATTGGACATTTGTTAGAAAAATAAATTAAATCAATTTTAAAATGAAACAAAATACTTTTTAGAAACATAAAAAATAATAATATGTTGGCTAAAATCAGGATTAAATTTTTTTTTAAAAGCCAATTTAAAATCTGAAAGATACTACTTATTCTATAAGTTATTGAATAGACGTGAGTAATACTAGTCTTCTAATCAACATTATAATTTGATTCCATGCTTGAATGCACAAGTTTATCAATTGGATTACACATTTCTTAATTTTTATCTTCTAGCTTTGTTCACACAGTCCATTTGTAACCTGATTGAAATTGCCTATTTATTTGTTCTGATCTAATTAATGATTTGATTCCATTCATAAAAGATTTATCGTTTTAATCTATTTACACATAGTTTATAGGTTTAATCAGTTGTATCCAAATACGTGATTTGTATTTGTTTATAGGCCAGGTTGGTGGTTTTTATCTATATTGTTTTAATATATATATATAACTAAATTTGAACTAATTGTTTTGATAAGAGTATTCAGAAATAAGTTTGTTCGCCTGTATTATACTTTAATCATAATTTGAAACGTATTTTACAATATTATAGAAATAAATATGCGTTTAATTTCTAAAAGCAAAATTATGTAAATATATATAACGTGTTTTATTTTTTGGTAAAACTTTATATACTATATTTTTTAACATATACTTTGTTTATTCAATATTTAAACACGAATTTTTAACGATCGACGGTTATTTATAAGTAAAATTTAATATTTTTAGTGTTATAATATATTATTTCACTTGAAACATAGATTTATATAACTACCAAATAGCCGACTCTTATAGAATTTAAAATAATATTTATAATAAATGGCCACCAATTGTTATCGAAGAGTAGGCTTTCACCAAATTAAACTAATGTTTATTAAATGCAATTAGATACTATTAAAACAATGTTAGTATGTAAATATTCAATTTATTTCAAGACAACATTTTTTTAAATATATATTTTTAATTTTTAATAGAATCAGAATCAAGAATTTTAACACCACGTATTATATTTCAGTAAATATGTAGAAATATTAATAAAAATAACTATCCTTTAACTTAAAAGATAAATTAATAATGACAGTAAAATATGAAGAACTGTACATCATAAAATAATAACTGTTGATTCACGATTTATGTTTATAGTATATTTAATATTACCTGCTATAAATCATAAAAATTATGATTCATAATGTCGTTAATTATCATTCATCTGCAGGCTTATACAACATAAACATTCACCTCTTAGATAAGGAATAGTAGGTAACTAATTAATTGGCTAAATTAATAATTTAAAATTAATTATCTAATATTTTTACATATTTGTGAATTGAAATCTCAAAAACGCATTAAATTGTAAAACTCAAATTGATTTTGCGTGTTGAAACCAATAATCCAAATTTTATTTCTAATGCATGTGTTTTAAGCCTTAACCTTATTTTTTATCTCCACAATCTATTAATTTTTATTTTATTTTTGATTAATGAGTGGATAAGCGAGTATATATACATGTTATAAAATATCAACAAACGCATTGCAATATTTCGGATGTCTGTAGTTTCAACCCTCAAATCCGTATTTTCGACTTATATATTCTCTAATTCGAATTATTCCTTTAAATTATTCCAGAATTAAATCAATATAAAACGAAAAATAAAATGTTAGTTTAAAAAATATTACTCTTATATAATATATATATTATTACAACGCAGTATTTTTTTTTCTTCATAACAATAATTTAGTTCAATAAATGTCAGAGAAACCAAACCGTCTGATGAACAGTACTATACGTCTTAATTTGTGTTTCACGATGCATTGATTTCAAATTTTACCCAAAACCCTTAGACGATTCAGTTAATTTTAATTATTAATATTCTTATTGTTATTCCTGATAATGGTCGAGACATAATAACTAATTATTAGTTTTGTTTTCTCTCATATAGGTGCGTGTTACGCTGAATTCGGAGTCCGGGTACCAAACACTTCCGGTTCTGCGTATATGTACAGTTACGTCACCGTCGGTGAATTTATAGCGTTTTTGATTGGCTGGAATATGGTGTTAGAATATCTCATAGGAACATCGGCATGCGCGTGTGCCCTGAGTGCGAGCCTGGACTCGCTCACAAACGGTGCTATTAGCGCATCTGTTCAGAATTACGTAGGGTTTCTTGGTGAGTACATTTAAATATTATAATGGTAGATAGCGGCAGATTTAAGGAGGTTCACCTGCTTAATTTTTTTTTTTTTTTTATGTGTTTTTGTTATATTTTGGTTATCTGATTACTAACGATGATCAAAGATTCAACTTTTTTTTGTTGAAATTCTATAGTATAGTCTAAAAAATTAAATTGTTTGGTAATAATATTAATTAAGAAAATATAAACATAGAATTTAACTGTTTATAAAAATGATAAAATAGAGGCAATAATGTGTTGTTATAGGAAAAAAAATAATACTATGAATAATTTATATTATGAGATTAGAGTTGAAGTTTCACCATAGGATTTTAATAATTGAAAAGAGACTTGATAAATGCTGCAAATTCCACTAATTTGACTGCATATACCTATATTTCTACATAACAGCTGTCTAGTTAGATACAATAACAGTTTTATATCTAATCCCATTTCCGTAAAAATATATATCACTAGGATTTTGAGCTTGGTTATGATAAGGAAAAGAATTGAAATTTTAAAGTGTATTGGGGGAAACTACTAAAGATATGGCATTAGCCTCATATATTAGTATTTGGTTATTTTCCTGTGGTTACATTTTACAAGTGTCTGTTAAAAGTGTGCATTGTGAATGTTGTCAAGAACTACTAGATATTTTTGGACATAGTGCTTTATTGAATACCTTTTTAAATAAACATTTTTGAGTGAAACATTAATATTTTTACAATTGCTAAGTATTTCACGTTTCAAGTTTGTTTTTAAAAATTTTATTTACATTTGCTAAAAGTCTTGAATACTGTGTACACTTCCGAAGGTTTTATTCAAATTATCTAGTTATTAATGTTATATCGAACAAAGTTAATTTATTTAATCATCTTCAGGTGGTATAAATATATTATTATTACGCTTATAATAATTACATAGTAGTATCATTAATTAATGAAACAAATTTCAATTGAAATACGCATATTGTTCCAAAGAAATTAAACACTTTTAAATATTATTAAAAACATATTTAATATGATGTTATCATTATTAGAAATATGATGTTCAAATAATTAATTTGTACACATAAAGTAAGCCAGTTTACACAAAAATTGTTTTATTTATAAATAAAGGTAGATTTATTTATATTTTGAACATTTTTGGCAATTTAAAAATATTATAGTGTTTATATTATTTATTTCTTCCTATTTATATTCATATTATGAATTAATATATCGATATATTTTAGAATATTATTTGTTATCACCATAAAAAGTTATAAATTTAACATAGAATATTATATTTTAGTTAGTTTTGTGTAATTTATTTATATTTTTAATAAATTTGAAATTTACAAGTAAATTTGAACCTTTATACTGATATATCAATTTTTTATTATTTCTAAAGATATTATACTAAATATTATGTGTGTAATGGGTTTTATGTATTACCCATTTTGATACTAAGCATACAATATAATTAATATTTTAATAAGCAGACCGGGTACATCTTGTACTTGAAGAATAAAAATTTTTAACCCAAGTTTAAAACAAATTATAGGCGTATTGTCATAACTTATAATAATATAATTATTATCTAAAATGAGAAAATAGATAACTAAAACAGAATTTCTTTAGTTTTTTTTCATTCACCCAGAAAATTGTTAGAAGTTTAGAAAGTAATGAATGCATGGTTATATTAGTATTAGTAGGTATTTGCGTTCCTGAAATCATCGATTGTATACATATTCCATATTAACAACCATTATGCAATATTGTAATGATTGGTCGAAATGATGTTGTAAAGCTTGGATAATTATTGTTGAGAATAATATTTCTGTGTCGTAATCGTCATCGTATTAAGATTGAATTTGTGCTTGTTTAATGATGACTTTAAATATTAAAAACGTCGGTAGTAATTTCGTTTTATTGTCGCTAAACACCTACTATTACATAAAAATAAGAAGAAAGAGATAGAAATAGTTTGTGAACTATGGAGAATAAATGTGTGGTTTATTATATACGGTTTTTTTATTAAACTATAATTCATGGAATAAAATATATATTGTTTTAAATTAGACCATAATTTAACTTCATATATTTAGATATTATATATTATATTAAATGGTTAAAAACCAACATAAAAAGAAAAATCATTTTAAGAATAAATATCACAATTAAAATTTATGTAATAAATATTATTATGTTAGTATACTAAAATAAAAAAACGACTACAAATAGATATTTGAGAATAACGTGTACTTTTTTTATGTAATACTAATAATAAAATTAATGAAATAAAGATATACGTGATTCATTAAATTATAAATATGTACATTTATATTTTATAATAACAATCTCTTGTTACTTGAATTCATGTTCAGCTATTATAAACAATAACAATAAAAAAAAATTGTATGTACAAATCAAAAAATTGTGAATAAAGTTGTAACAAAATATTTTCTTTTTTGATAATTTCATTGAATTTCAGTAAATATAATTAAACATTGCAATTCATAACTTTTTGTTATGAGCTTTAAATTTAAATTATTTAATTAAGAAGAATTGAAAATTTTAAATTGTATGAAAGCTGTTTTTATTTGTTCATTCGTTTTCCATATACCTATCTACCATAAATCAAATAAATATCTCTTTTAAAATCTTCTATCTCATTTACTTAATTATAAATTCGAATAGGTTTATATTTTTATTTTCACCATTAAACTGTCATATGTTATTTGTTTCATATTTTAATTTAACTGAAATGTATATAATTTCTGTATTTATTTAGTTTTACATGCATTATAATTATGGGAATGAAAAATAAACATGATCCTACATGTTTCTATTGAACATAAAACTATATTGTTTTTGTGTTAAAAAAAAAGTTGTTTATTTTACGTTTCTATTGAAATAAAACATTTTTAACTTAAAAACTGTATATTACTCATATTCAAAATAATTTCAAAAAGTGTTTAGTCTACCACGTTAAAAGATTAAAAGTATTTTATTTTTGATTATTTTGAAACAAATTCAATTTGGAATTACATTTTACATATTGATAATTATAGAATCTATAATATGATTTAAGTAATGTGATACGCTGGTACATATTCAAAGTTTACTAAAATTAATATTTCATAAGTAAATAAATAATGGAAAAATATTAATTCAGTATGCATAATCCTATATTACCTATATTAGTATTTAAAAATGAATAAAAATTGTGTTTTAAAATATTAGTCCGAATTTATCAAGTACACTGTTGGTTTTATAATGAAGATTTTTTGAAATATAACAGTAAAATATATTCGACTGCACGTTTTATTTTTCAAATGTATGAAAATTTTTATTGTTCTCAACTTTATTATATCACACACACGTGGCAATAGCTTTCTCGACGTGTAAAGAATATAAGATTTTTTTTTCTTCTTACTTTCAAAATAATATGTATGCAAGGCCGTACCTAGAGGGAGGTTTAGGGTTAACCCGCACAAAATTTTTTCGCATTTCGTAAACTTAGAAATTTAACATCTGTTTTTTTATTATTGATATGATATTAATAATATAGTATTATAACTAAAACAATTGCAATATAGTGCCAAAAGGGCATTTTGTTGCATGGTGTTAAGACTGCGTCTTAAAAATTTTGCTTCTGACTACATTTGCCAAAACAAAATTAAAAAAAAAAAAAAAGTTGTAACATAATACTACAGTATAGATTAAGTTTCTAGATCATTTTTTTTTTTTTTTAGATTTACTAGTAGCCAAATAAAATCTTTGAAAAAGCAAGTGGTCATATAAATCCATACCAGAATGATCTATCGAAGTATTTGTAGCATATTCGAATAGAAGTAAAAACTTTTTTCCATTATTTCATTTTTATTAAAAGTTTTGATTAGTTTATCGGTGTCAACCACAACGCCTGAAAGGGCTTTTTTTCTCTAAAAATAATTCAGAATTGTTTGCGAAAAGCTATTACTGAAGATAGACTAACCGGTTTAGCATTATTTAGTGTGCATAGAAATATTTATGTATGTCAATCCCGAAGAAGTAATCAATCGTTTTTCTAGTAAAAAAAATTTAATTTAAAATTTGTGCTGCAAAATCGAATTACATTTTTTATTATGTACTATACGTATTTAAATAATTATTAACAAAACCTATTAATTTATATACAGATACTTAAAATATATGTATTTAATTTCTTCAACGCATTTATAAACTGTTCGTTATTTTGTACACCATTTACTACGATTTATAAAATATTTTTATTTTTATTTGTCAAAACTGACCATAAAAATATATTCTATATACTTTTTATTAGTATATGTATAGTATGAGAATTTTGGTAAAATATAATGAAATACAGGTATAATTATAAGTTATAACCATGTGATTGTTAATGTTTATTTCGATTACCGTTTAAAATAATGATTTTATGATACTCTGTTCGCTGATAAAATGCGTTTACACATAAATCCAAACACGTCATATATCGTCTTAACAATCATTCTAATCATTACTAGCAGTCGTATTCTCTAGGTTGACCGAGTATAGAGAACATTATGTTCATAATTGTATTAAATTACCTACAAAACATTGTTGGAACATCAAATATCGATCATAGAATTATCTTTCTGAAAATAGTGTGATAAAAAGAACTATTTTATAATATTATATAAACATCAATATTTATTCAGTTTGAGGTAATTTGATAATGATGTAAACGTTTTGGCTGTAAGTTCAAACAAAATATTTATTAGCATTTATTTATTTATTTTTATATACATTTACCTCTTAACGCCCAATATAGACGTACCATTTATTTTACATTTCAAGAAAATATGTATTAAACTGTTATTTTATTTACATAAAATAAAAATTAAACCAAACATACACAGCGATTTCCATTATATTATGCACTACGGCCCAGTGCAGATGTATCCAAGATTTTCCTTAAGATAGGTATCGCCACTTATATACTCATATATTTTATTCAAGTTTAATTACAACATTTTATAGCTTATTTAAAACGTTATTTTATTAGTAGATAATTGTATAATACTATTAAAACACAAAACTTGGGGAAAAAGGGTGTCATATACCTGAAATATCTTCCTTGCACCTATATGTACGTGTCACTGCAACTTCTACCCATATTTCGTTGACTGTATTGGCTTTTCTTTTCAACCGAGATTAAATTAAATTATTTACACGTCATAAACAATGTTTTGAACGTAAAAAAACATCAATCATGAACTCATAATTAAATTATGTTTATTCGAAAAGAACGTGACTACCATTTTAATTCTGATGAATTTTATTTTTCAGAAGCAACGAAATGTGTTTTAATTCTTAAAAATATACACATAATATTAATATTATGAATTCTCACATTTTCGTTTTGATTTTTTATCTCATTTAAATTAATTTTTAGTGAATGATATTAAAAGACATAAAAATGGCTATAACTGCAATTTGCGATTTGTATTGAATTATAATTTTTCATGGTGTATATTTTATTACGACAATAACATACTTAATTCAATTTATTTTTTATATTTTATGAACACCATTTTTCACCACATTGTGTGTGTGATTTCTGTAACGCAACAGCATTTAATATGATATTTTTGATTAATTTAAAATATAAATATTTTATATATTTCAATATGATAAAATTATATCGTCCTGTACAAACTAATATATTATAACAAGATCGAAACCTAAAAGTTTACACAAATGATTAAAAACAGAAGTATAATAAAAACCTGTTTTTACTTATATAGAATTGTGTGTTAGAATACGTAATTCTATTACTTATTTGTATGTATTATTAAACCGAATAAGAGTCGAAATAAAAATTATTGGAACTTGTAATACGGAAAAAAAGTTAATTTTTAAATTATTTGTTACCTAACAATATTTATCAATTGAGTACATCGTCCCCAAGGAATCAGATGTATTGAATCTATAATATAAATTTTGATTTTCGCATCTGAAAACTTTTGGGTAATTAATTTTGGGTTGGTATACGTTTCATTTATTTTATCTTGTATGCTGTTGGCTACTGAAATATTTTAAAAAGAATTTCCTGATTATATTTTAAAAACATCATCTCCAAACAAAATAGCACATTTCAGAGGTAATTTAAAGACGTAGAATTTATAGTATTTTTAAATTTATGCTAATACTTGCCTTAAATCTAAGAATCCTTTTGTCTACACATACTACCATTTTTAAATCAAGTGTTCCTTCTTTAATTTGAAAAAGATAACATCTATTAAAGATACAGTACCAATGGAGAAAGTTTGAATTTATTAGTCATAGACCATTTTGAAATAGATACAGTTAATATGACTGCTTAATAAGACGATAAGCATTAGTTATTTAAAAATTCATCAATCAACATGTTAAGTTTCATTTTTTTTTCTTCAATGGTAGGCAATTTTTGACGTTTGAAAATTTTAACGAGTATTTACGTTTGATTTTTCTGAGAAATATTTTTATTTTTCTACTTAAAAAAATAACTATTGTCATCATTGGGAGATACATTTATATACATATAAATATTTTTAAATTATTGAGGATGATTTTATTTTTTGTTTGTAGAATTCAATAAAATATTAAATTATACTTAACTTTTATAAATAAAAGTGAGTGTTTATACTTTATAGATCATAGATTATATACATTTATGAAATTGCATTTGTTGGAGGAAGGACACGATGTTAGATAATGTGAGACATATCATATCTAAAAGTTTAAAGTTAATAAATAATATACGAATTTTTGATTTTTCTGATTACTTAGAATATACTTAACTGGATAAAAGAAAATCATTGCAATGGTAAGGTAAAATAGTAAAATAATTTTGAACTAAGAATAGATTTAATAAATATGGGCTCTGATTGATTAATGTTTGCCGGTTGGAAAGCTTATAAATTGATGCAGGAATTCTTTCATACTGTATTTGCCAATGTTCTTGGTACACATTTTTTTCAATAAATTGTTTTCTAAAATTTTAGTTATTACTACATTTTAGCGCCTTTAAAAATAGAACGATTTTCAACTTCCACTTCTCACCAAATACGTTTATCACAATTATACAAAATAAAATATGGTATGAATATATATTTTAAATAGCATAAAATTTCAACTAAATAAATCCATAAGCACAGATAGGTTAATTATAAAAAAAAATATAATTATTTACATCTTTTAGACATCAATGTATAATCCAGTTATCGATTAAGCAATTTTGGTGAGATTTTTTTCTGTAGAATCATAGCAAATTACTAAAAAGCTCGTTAAGCTAGATTTAGATTAAATTACCCTAGATTTTAATAGTTTAATTCGTCACAAAAACATAACTGACCTCATTACTTTTACAGTATTATTACGGTAGCTAGGATCAAATGGGAGTTAAAATTGGAAAATCTTAATCCAATATAATTGAAATTTACTTTTTTTATTTTCATCGTCGTTGCAATCGTTGCCGGAAAAAAATACATTAACAGAGTTGTTTTTAGTCAAATAATTTAAAGTCACTAATGGCGAATTCAACAAGATTATAAACTATTTTTTAGAATTTATTGTTGGTATTTGTTTTTTTAAATTTTAAACTTAAAGTTTTAGCCTTCTAAGCTTTCGTTATCACTTTTTTAATTTATAAATAATATAAATTACGCATTCATAATATATGCATTTCATATTATGTATATTTTTATAACTAACTAAATAATTAGATAAAGTTATATACTTGTTAATATAATTATTTAGATATAAATTTATATTATTATTAGGTACAAATGCATAAAACTAATTCTAAAAAATTATACTTAAAATTCAAATACTTTATGCACCACCTACTGCCGACATAATATATTTTATAAAAATATTGCAATTAAAGTAATGTATTTTACTATCATAATCATAAAATAGATTGAATTCATTTTTTACCAAAAAAAATGCATTTAAAAATATCATTATACGTATAAAATATAATAGTATACATTAAAATAATTTTAAGTATTCAAGAATAATATTTTTAAATTGTGTTTAAGTATACCTAAAAATGTTTAGAGTTTTAGTTATGGTATGAATAAAAAAATTACTTAAGGAAATTCTTGTGTTAAATTTTAACTATGAAAATTGAAAATTGTATTCATTTTCCGTAAATTATTATGATTTTGGTGAACTTTATCAACATTTTAACGGCAAACACTTATGAATAAAATCATATCTATCTATATTTTATATTCTTAAATAAATGTAATAACGACTTATAAGAATCTATTATCTTTTATTTTCATGCTTTTTGACTCAGCAAACGTTTTTTTATTCATTATTATATAAAAAAAAAAAAAGTTATAAATTTCAATCGCCTATAAAAATAGTCCAAAAAGAAAACTATAAACTATTTGTATAAAATAAAAATATAAAGATTTTAAAATAATAATTTCAATTATTTACAGTTATTGTTTTTGAGTAACCAAAAAAAAAAAAAAAATGAAATTGATTTTGTTGAATATTGTTTTGCAAAAAAGTTCTCATTTTTCCTTAATTTTTGTTGTTATTGGTTATTAAGAAAAGAACCGGAATTTACTTCTCGATGTACTGACTAGATCCTATATGATATTATAAGACGCCCTCGAAGTTGAAAATCAAAACATTTTTACTGCCCTAAAAGGTAATTACAAATGAAAAAAATAATAACAAACACATTATTGTAAAATAACTACATTCATCGCACCGTTTAAAATTTAAAATAATGTAAACATTTTAGCATCAATTTTAGTCAAACCCTTGATAATAAAATGCACTTATATTTGTTGTATAGAAATATTTTTTTACAGTTTTCAGTACTTTTTTTTGAATTCACTTTGTTACCTTTTCGTAAATATTTCAGATATATTTACACATTTTATACGAAACTTAAGTATTGTCCTGCCACGAAACCAATCAATAAACTTGAATAATATATATATTATTTTTAAGCATGGTATAATACGTGTCTACAGGAAATCCGTTACTATTGTTACAAATTTCTTAGAAGGTTCTTTTCTTCCACACGAATTTATGCATATAAACAAAACGTTTATGGCAACGCCTGTAAAATGTTTTGTTAATTAATAATAATATTTATCTTGTTACAGGAAAACCAGATATCCTAGCCGCTGGCATTACTCTGTTGATGATGGTGCTCCTTGCAGCTGGCGTAAAAAAAAGTTTGATATTTAACCATCTGATGAACGCCATAAACTTGGCCGCGTGGGTATTTCTCATGAGCGCTGGATTATTCTACGTTAATCTTGATAATTGGACCAAAAACGATGGGTTTTTGCCGAACGGCTGGGGCGGGGTAAGTTTATCGAATCGTCTCTATAAATTTGTTTATATTACAATAATTCATATCAATATAGATAAAGTCGAATCAATATTGTTATTATTATTGTTATTATTATTATGACCAACATCAACATCATCATAAAAGTATCGCGTTCGTCAAATAAACCGTTGGGTGGGTATATAATATTACCTTTCAGTTAGATATTGATATTTTCACGTAGAATAATTTGGTTATAAAACGTGGCGTTTCACGATGTTGAATTTATTATGCGCGTAACTTCGTATATCGAAAGTCAATATCGATGATGCGGTGCGATAATAATATATAGAAAACTCACAACGGTATTTTTTGTTTATTTTTCATTTGACAGCCGTTTTTGTGTTAAACGCATCTGGTAAAAATGTTAGTACCTATTATATTTATAACACGATATGAAATCGGTGAAATGCAGGTGTTGATGGACGACGGTCGAGCATTTTTTACGTCGTCTCATTTTAAGTGAAAAAAAATATATATCGCCACGAACGTCATGGGTTTAATTAGATCACCATAGGTGTCATTTAAGTTTTAAAAAAAATTAAAAACATCTACAGTGGATGGTTTAAAAGTTTGTTGAAAACACGTATGGGTTTATATAAAATGTAATAAGATACGCGATTACTCTATATAATAGACATTTAGTAAAATGTACTTTTTTTAAATTATTTATCAGCGTTAATGTTTACAGTACTTACCTGCATATTTTTATGTAAAACAAAACTTAAAATAGTTCTGAATAAATTTGGTTAAAACTCAAATAAATTAAAATGTGTGTTTAAAAAAGCATTTTTGAACGTGTTTGATCAAAGGGGGTGTAAGTATAAGATGATATTAAAATACATTTTGCCTTAAGTTACAGACGTGAATATCCCACGCTTCTTATTATAATATGTAGATACCCTTGTACTTGTCTCCCAATACTTGCGTAATCCTTTGATAATCCTCTCACATTTTCTGTACATAAATCATAGATTTATTATGGCTAGTTGATTATTTTGTATGCATTTGCATACTTTCATTAGTTGATTAAAAAAGTATACTTATTATGTAATTTATTTTTTTTTTTAACTAGGTATTAACTTTTTAGGATTTTGGTATTTGAAAGGAACGGATTTAGATTTTATTTATTTTTTGTAAAATTAATAGTTGAATATATTACTTTAAATTAATAATAAGGGATTAGAAAATACGTTAAAATAGATGTAAAGTATTTTGTTTTGATATTTAAAGTTTCAACACATTTTTCAATACAAACTACTAAAATCAATCAACATACCTAATTTATTGTAGCAATTTTTATTTTTATGAATTTTATTTTTCTTCCGAGATAAATTTATATTAAATTGTTTCTCTTATATATACCTTTATTAGGAATATAATATTTTAAATGATTTTTTTTTTTTTATAATGGCTAACGGATGAAATCTATGTGTCTGTCATGCTTAATCAATATATCTCACGCATTGGATAAATTTAATTTGACATATGAACCAACAAAAGTCGAACGATAACTATGACGAGTTAAATGGTCTCTCAATCACTTTGAAAGACAAGAAAGAGCTGTCAACGATAGTACGAATTCAATTTTATTGTGCGATATTTTTCAGTGTAAATAACTCACACTTTATAGGAAATATTATACAAAAAAAATAATATAAATACAAATGAAATAAAATAAATACGCCAAATAGATATATCCATGTATATTATGTCAATAAATTGTATTTGTTTTTAACATATATTTCGAATAAGCAACAATAATAAATATAATACTAGGATATAACATAATTAATTAGCCGGAAACCCAATAAATATAAAGTAAATAAAGTAGTTCATAAAAAACTATAATATTTATAATTGATTATTCATTTTTAAACATTTATTTCTTGTTAAATATATTGATGGATGCTTATCGTTTTGGTTGTATTTTAACAAAGTGTGATAAAAAACTTTTTATCATAATTTTATCGTTATCCAATACAAAATATTAATCGCTCATCTGGTATGACGCGTACAATAACTTATGGGGATATAAATCAATGAATAACTGTTGATTTTTGTTTAGGACACCGACCAAACCAATTACATACACTCGAATAGCGTTGTATTTTTATGAATAAATGGTTTGATAAAATAAAAATGAATTTTCGCTTTGCCCCCATAAATGAAGGTAGTGAAGGCGAATGGCAATAAATCGTTCTGGTATATGGATAGTAACTGGTCTAATAATACTACCGAAAATAGTCACCTCGCCTTTACGACCCCTTCTTCAGTTTGATTACGACCTCCTTTTCTATCCTTTTTTTTTTTTATTGATCCTTCAGTAACTGCTCTGCAATCTCGTCCATGTTAACAAAACCCATTTTAACGTCTTGAAGTATTTTTGATGCTCTTGTACCAGGAACCATAAAATTACATAGATATACAATTTAAGTGTAACAGAAAGTAGATATAAAATTATTATTTATATTATATTGACCAGTTTTTTTTACTGAACCTGATCAAATTTTAGGCATACTTAATTTTTTTTTTTTTATAAAAAAAAATAACATAGTATCTATTCATAAATAAATAAATACATTTTTGTTGAAGTTTTTTTTAAAAATTTTTTTTTATTAAACTTTTAAATGCTTTTATACTATAAGTTATTAATGATAAATTAATTATAATGATAATATAATATTGTAATAAATGTTCACGAACGTATTTAACAAAATATTGTTACAAAACATAAATTATATTAGTACGAATAACAAATATGTTTGTATAGTTTAATAGCCAAATAAGCTATGACAGAATTTTTAATATTCCCTCAGAATATATAAAATATTGACAAGAAAAAAACATTATATATATGTGTATTGATTGATGTTAGTTTAGTTTGTTAGCTAGTATAATAATAAGTTGAGTAATATTAATGTGACTATGTGACATATCATGCATACATAACACTGAAATAAAAAACTATTAAACTTTTCAAAATCAGTTTTTACAACTATTCTATCGTTCCATTTTATGCGACTATTTAACAAATATAAATTAGGTCTAATTTACTCAAAACATTGTCATACATTTTAAATATTATACTTAAGATTATTTTTAATGAAAAGATAACTAATGTGTATTTGCATGTTGATTTATTTCTAATTTAATTATCAATTAATTCCACTATTGTATGTCGTATGCAATACTATCGCTGTGATTGGTGGGCGTTAAAGTATCTATTATGCATGTACGCATGTTTAAAAAAAAATAATTGGGTATTATGTTCTATTTTGTGGATTGTGAAATGTTACGTCACAGGGATCAAATAAAAACATTAAATTTGTGTAAATATTTTCTTAATTCAAATGGACTATGACTATATGCAAGCTTTAAATTCTTGACTATTGAATATCTATTGAGATGTGAATACACTTTGTATATTTCGGGAACATTGAAGAAAAACAATAACTGTGTTTACTTAAAACGAACCTGGTGATTTTCGTGATTCGTTTCTTAAAACTAAGTTATTCAAAATACAAGCTTAAAGTTAAAGACTGTAATTTCACAAAATACTACGATAGAAAATTATTAAGGGTTAATTTGGACCTCTATAGTAAATTTTTTTTTTTGTACAGTAAAACAAAACGATATCAAACAGTTTAATATACTCATGTCCCGCAGGTATAAATAATATACGTGTAATTTAATACATTGGTGATGGAATTTTATTGACGTGTGGGTTGATTGCTATATAGAAATCCTTGAGAATACGTGAAAACTATATCGTTTACAAACGAAACATATTAAGACTAAAAGTGATATCCTGAACACCTGACGTACAATTTCAAAACGAGTATAATGATATATTTATATTTAAAAACATAACATGTGTATAATGACATATTAAATTAAATTATTTGAGTTATAACAGAGTTAACAACGGTACTTATTTTTTAAAGATCAATATTTTCTAACTTTTCAATAAAATAATTATACTCGTATACATTTTAAAAGTGTCAAAAAGAAAGAAAAGTATAGTTCGTTCACGACTGCCAAAAATATATTGATATAATGATAAAATTAATGTCTTAATGTACCTACAAAAGATATAGATATGGTAGATATATTATAGGTGGCAATTTTAAATTTATTTTAGAAAAATATATTTTGATATAATAAATGAAGTTTACGATTTAAATAAGTACATTTTTTTTTTTTTGGAATTGTTAAGATTAGAATATATTATTTCACTGAGCATAGAATAAGAGCTAAGTCAAAATTAGATCATAGTTGGAAGGTAATTAATAACTAATAATATTTTGTAAGTATGCCTTTTTGAAGGATTTAAAAAATTCGAAATATTTACAAAATTGCGAGGAATAATTCTAAGAGTAATTGTTATAGTAAAACAGCAAAACGACAAGTATCGATAGAAGTGTAAATGATGTAAGTATTAGTTAACATAATATTGTACGATTTTACAAGCCATCAATGTACATATCGTAAAAGTAGCAACCCATCAGTATTAATGGAAATTTTTCAATGTACTTTTTTTAAATCGTTAAATTTAAAATAAATTTCTAAAAAAATAATTTATTTTTTCTCTATTCGAACCATTAAAAGCTAAATAAATTGTTATACATAAATAAGATAATTAAGGATTTGATTTTTATGTACAGCTTTATAAAACGTGACACTAAATAAATTAACGATATTTTGACTTTAATTTACCACTCAGTTATGAATAAAAAAGCTCAACAAATTATTATAATTTAATTTTTTGATAAAAAAATATAAAAAGCATACATTCTATTCGTTTTTAACTACAAATGTTAGAAATTATGTTGATATTATTATTTAAATAGGTTTGTATTGTACGTTTATTTTTTTTTTCTATTCACTTAATGAAAATTGGAGTAAAATGTATGCAAAGAGCACTTACTATATCAATTCAAAAATGTATATTTTTAGAATTTATAGAAAGACTGTTCGTAAAAAAATGAAAAAAAATGATTATTTTTTTTGCTAAAATAAATTATACCTTTTTCAAAATTCAAACATTTGTTTATGTTTTTATGTTTTAAAACATGGTATACATAGAATGAAGTTAGTATGAGTATTTTTAATATAACTGATATAACGAATTCGTTTTTGATTTATTGTTTGTAAGACAATTAATCTTAAAACAATATTAATAGTTAAATGTTGTTCAACTTTAGATTTATGACGTACCTAAAAGCTTATTTTAACAAATATATTGTACATTGTATATGACTACACGATGACACGCTAATGTGAACGAATGAAAAATATTCTTAGACGATTTAAAATTGTTTTTGTTTAATAATCAATAGTATTATCATGTACGCGTTTTGATCTCAGAAAACTATATTACTAATTTAAGCCTAAAACAAAATATAATATATATATATATATACCATATTATGTATACAGTAATGTGTACAATGAACTTATCGAATCTAAAGTTGAAGAAATATATATCTAGTTGTGTATTATCTTTAGAGGCAGGCGATAGTTAAATTAATTAATTGGAACAAATGGTTGGATTTGATAAATTTAATAACAAAACATTATTATTTCATTAATCAATTTTCTCGCAGATAACGTTATTACCTAATAACAGACTAGTCTTGTTCATTTTCAATCAACGATTATCTATAGAGATAATAGACCCTATACTTTTAACAATTATTAAACTGATGAGTTAGTGTGTATTACAAAGTACGGAGTCATTAGCTTTCTTTCAATAATTTATCAGAGTGGTGTTATATTCCAACCATAATTATTATTAATATATTTAATTTACTTTTGAATGGTTTTATTCTGGCATAAGTTATAACTTACAACAATATATAATATTCCAAATTATAAGGAACGTGACTAGGTTATTTGTTATGATATCATAGCCTTCAAAAGAAAACGAACGAAGAAAATAAAACAAAATTACGATAATTAACACTAGATAGTAGATTTATACACAATACACGCTGTAATAATATAAAAAAATTAAGCTTAAAAGTTTAATGTCAGGTCGTTCAGAAATTATATAATTTAATGTCTCGTTAAAATTTAATGGACCAATCATGGTTACTGTTTGATGTTAAGAATGTGTTAAATATTTAAGTATCTATTAAATTCAAATGGACGTTTGTCCAGTACACTATACATTTATAGAGAATGATAAAGTTAAGTACATAATCATGATGTTTGATTAGCAGATAAAAATAGCTGATTATAATATTATACTTATATAACATTATAGTAATTATTTAGTATATATTTCACATAAGTAGGTACAATTAATAAATTCTTTTTTTTTTTTTTTAATATTATTTTAACAATTTTTTCGAAACAGTTTTAAAGTGTATAATTAAAATTAAAATTTGATTTTTCAAAAGACACCTACGTAAAAATAGAATTCAAAAATAAAAAACATGTATGTTTATTTCAATGAATTAACAACAAAATGTGCTTAGCTTATACACTATAGTTGTATTTGTGTTCAAGGATGAATGACGTTATTACAATATAAGTTCGCTAAACAAGCTCGTTGTAATAGACAGCATATGACTTTGTAACACTAATAACTAAGGATTAGAAATGTATGCACTCAAATTAGAAATACAATGGTATATTTGCATTCTTACGTACCAATAATAGAATTTTAAGTATGTAGTATAATATGTAATTATTCATTTTATTTTTTTTGTATAAAATATGAATTTATATGAGAATAGATAATGCAAAATATTTCAAAAAAATTTAATGATATGCATTCTTTCTTACTTCAAATATTTGTACAGAAAAAAAAAACTATTGCCGAATTTATGGATTAGTTCAAAATATATATGGCGATTGGGGGAGGGTTGTATGAAAGACTTTTTTTATTTATTATCAAATAGTATTTCCTAAATATAAATAATTTAAAACATAAAAAAAAAATCTTTAAATATGGATTATAATATTTTAGATTCGAGTTAAATATATTTACATATTATATTACGAATTTTTGTTGAACCTGATTTTGAATATGCAGCTTACTTTGAAATATGCAAAAGCATGACCTTCTAAGCACAGCTAAAAATTATAAAAATATCTACCCTTATATTATTCAGATATGCATTATAATATATCGTCATTTTTATTTTTTATTTTATACATAGCGCATAAATTAGATCGATATCACGGGATGGTATTAATATTTTTTTTCAGAATATATTATATTTTTGCCCTGAAATATTGTATAAAATACAGCGATTTATCATTAAATTTAAAAACAGCCTTACTAGCAGACTAGCAGTAGCTGGTCAGCTAATGTACTATAAATCTCACGTATGCTTGATCACGTTTTTTAACATTTTTAAACACTTAAATGCCAAAGAGAATGTTATAATTTCCCGAATTCAGAATAAATTTAAAAAAAAAAAAAATTAAATATTGAAGTAGAGGATCAAATTTAACGAGAAAAAATTAAATTAACTAAGAAATTTCTTAAATGCTTAATTTATGTGTTATATTTTGGAACAAAATAACAAATACAAGGAATATTTACTAATTATTAATTATTATAGTAGAAAAGAACAGGAGTTTCAAATGTATATCATATATGATAAATACTTTTGCTATATTATATTTTATATAGTAAGATTAATGTAATTAATTTTCAATGTTTTTATTTAATAGAAAAAATAATTAATTAAGCAGAGTTTAACGTTCATTGATTATACTATTATTACTAGAATTCCATTTCATAAAGTATGTTTTTATTACATAATCATATAAAATATAATACAGAATAAAACAATCATAAATGTATCAAACGTTAGTTTTTCAACATAAGTATCTCGGGATTATTCACGCGTATGATAAATTGACGAATCCGTATAATTGGAGAGACAATTTTCAAAGTATATGAAAACACGTTTAAAAAAATAATACATAAAATATACACATAAATATAGCTTAAATAATAAAAGAAGTTGGTTATAAATTCACGGATTACAAAGATCTTTTCACTAGTCTATAATATCTTTAAAATATAATAATAATTTGTTCATGTAATAATCAAAAGACATTTAATTAATTTATTATGAACGTCAAAATTAATTTTCAAAGGCTTAAAATTAATTTTCGTCTCGGTGATTATTTAATACTTATTCAACCTACACATTTAAAAATATATCGAAACGTATTTTTATTTGTATGTATCGGTTTAGAATGTACATTTTCAAAAAATTACATAAGCATGTATATTGCGTATAACATAAAATTATGCAAATGTTACCCTAATCAATGTTAGTATTTAAAAAAAAAAAAATACTTTTTTGTTTGTATACATTTTTAATGTAATATAATATACTATTGCTTTTGAAGTCATTTATTAAACGTACATTTATATTGTTTTTATTTAGGTATTTAAAGGTGCAGCAACTTGTTTTTACGCTTTTATTGGATTTGATATCATCGCTACCACTGGTGAAGAAGCTCATAACCCGAAAAAGTCTATTCCATTAGCCATCATGGCTAGTCTGGTTATTATACTTGTTGCGTATGTTAGTTCTTCAATAATTCTCACACTTATAGGTAAGTAATTAATATGGTTAGCAACGCAAATATCTAACATACAAACTCATGAATAAATAATTTTATTCATACTCTTGTAGGTATCCTGAGTAAATTATATAAATTAAAAAAAAAAAAAAAAACGATTAAAATAATATTGAATGAATGAGTTTATAAACCACGATACAGTTTAGAAAAGTAATTAAAATACATTTTTACGGTACTTTAAAAAAATTTAAATTAAACCATTAGTAGGTATTAATATATTATTATACATTTTAAGTAAAAGTGAGTTATACTATATAATCTATTTTCTTAAGCTGTATAACTATATTAAAGCAGATAACTTTATTTTACAACAAATTATTGAAAACCAAGGGTAAATTCAAAAAAAATATAAATTAATTTTGATGATTTAAAATAATGGTTTTTTTATTTTTTTGTTAGGTTTTCAACAAATTTCAACATTTTTATAATTTAATTTATTTTGTACTAAATTATAATAATATGATCTTGATAATAAAAGAATTTATTTGTATTCTTAGTAAATAACATTAATAAATTTGAATTTGAATTATGTACGTATTATTTTTAGAAAATGAAATATCTTAGATGAATTGAGTTTGAGTGTCTTATTTTTAATTTAAAGGAACTTACTTTTATCATTCTTTAAAAAAAGTTAAACGCTTAATTATACTTTTCATTTTGTTATTATTATTTTTTTTTTTTTTGTCTATTGATAATTATAATTTTAAGTAAAATTCACATTTATGATGCTGAAACATACATTTGTAATAATTCTCACATTTTTAATTTTCAGACTAAATGTGCGTACACAATTAATGATATTATTTTATTCATTTCGGTGATGACACATTTTATTTTTGATAAATGTATTGCTATACAAATAATTCAATTCAATATTCAGCTCAGGTCGTTCAGATAAAATAACGAATGAGTAAAACTTGACTATGGGAGAATAAAAAATGTTTTATTATCTTAATTATTTAAACTAAACGATTTAAATATTCATTATTCGTTATTAAAAACAATACACACGTTTTAATTAAATTGTATAATATAATCTAAGGCTATGGTCGAAAAGTATAGATAATATATAATATATAGTGTATATTATATACTTTATAAACACTATAGTTTTTAACGGCTGTTATTATTTTTATTTTAGTTTTATGTATTTTATACATATTTTTCTTTATAATAAAATGTAATAATATTTCCGTCTTTGTAAAATTTATAGAATTATTTATAAACTTATATATAAGCGAAACGACCGCAGCTTTATTATTACACAAGTTAATTTTCTTAAAAACTATTTAGAAACTATAGCTTTTCTCTAACTTATTTCACATTTTGCCAAAAATTACTCACAATTTATTCTTAACCTAAGATTATAATAATTTGAATGAAATTCCTTTTTAATTTATTAAGATCATTTATTAAGATCATCTCAAAACATATAACAGCGCATAACCATTCAAACAAAGCTAATATTGTCAAGTCCAATCTCGTTGAAGAGAATAACATCAAAAGCGTTTATTGTTTTCAACCTTGTAACATGTTTATCAGGAAACATAAACACGCTAAATAATGTAATTATTATACTACTCTAGTTTTATTAAGGAGTACCCATGATATTTTTGATGTTGTAATGGTGGATACAAAATTTATTTCAATCTTTATATTAAATATACCTCGGAAAAATGTATTGGCTTTTTGCGTGAACAACAATATTGTTTTAATTAAAATCTGTGTTGATTTTACGTGTTTTTCGTGTTATATTTCTGTGTAGAATATAAAATAATAAGATATTATAACTATGACGGTGAGTCATATCTTTATTGTGTTTACCTTAAAGTATTAATTAATTTATTTAGCACCAACTACATAATAGTATAACAATGTTAAACTTAATGAAAGAATTGGTGATATTTATTCATCTTAAAATATAACACCGAAACCAATATTTATAAAATTTATGTATAAATATCATAATAGGCAGAGATTTAATCAGATTCTGGGAAAAAAGATAACATTTATTTTTATGTTGAATTATTTTGTGTTAGAGTAAACAAGTATCCAGAAGCTATGGCATATAATAATTAGAGTGATGTATATAATAATAAGTTTAATGGTTCAACACACAAAAATATAACGAGGCGCAACATAATCAACGACTAACAATAAAGAATATCTCCGTTACCATACAGAATAAAATACGTTTTATGGCTATATGGCCTGGTGTGGTGCAAGCACAATCTAAGGTTAAGCATCGGCTGGCGTCTCTAGCTCTCGGATAGGTGATCACCTGAGTTCTTAGTGACGAATCCATGGCGCACACACATACACACATGTGTTTCAACCGTACTAACCAAACTTTACAAACAAACCTTACACAAAAAAAACCTACTGTTCTTATTCACAGTTAATAGTCTTAGTTGCTGGGTTTAAAATATAAGATCAATAAACAAAAAAAAAAATTTTAAAATATGCTATAGTATATAAATACATACTCAGCGTCTGTAGCAGTACAGTTTGTATAGATTACTTATAAACTACATGTTATAGTGTGTCTTGTATATTAATTCCAACACTTTCCCTTAAACAATATACCATTATACATTAATATTTTTTACTCCCTAAGTTCTTAGAGCCGCTTTCGTGGAGTTGGCTTTGTCATAATGTCCGCAATCTGCTCTTTGCTGGGTATATGTACTACTATGAAAACACTCCCTCACTGGATTTTTTTCTTATGTAATGATACCGGACATCTATATGTTTGGTTCTGCAATGAAACTCTGGATCTTTCACGAGTTTATTTGCACTTGGATTGTCTCCAAACATTGTTATAAACTAAATGTTATAAGACTAAGTGTCTTGTTTATTGATTCCAACATCTTGAATGACCAAACAATCTCGCCTAACAACATTCCCCCATAAATTCATCAAATACAGTAGTTTCGGTACGTGTTACTTAAGATTATTTTACAGTAAACAATAATACATTAAACTCATGAATGTGATAGATAATAATCTTCAAAGATAATTTTATACTACTGTGAAAAATCACTAATATGTCATAACGTGTTATTGAGTACCTTTAATGATAATTAAAGAAATCAATATTGAATATATATATTATGGGTTAAGTTTTTGACAAAAAAATTAAGTAGGATTGACTCTAAATTATAAAAAAAATCATTTTAAACCGACAAAGAACCATTAAAATACTACAAACTCTATATAATAATAACACTCTTAAAATATTTTTTAAATGAATTATTTTAGAGTGTTAACGTCTCAATATAATATCTAAATGACATGTGTTGTTAAAAATCTAGTTAAGTTTTAGTGAACTGTTTAAATATTTTGATATATATAAATGGACAATAATTAATTTAATATTATTGTGATAAAACGTTGTATTTTTTTTTTTTTTTTTTTTTTTTTTAGTACCGTATACAAAAATTGACGAAAACGCCGCCCTGTTAGACATGTTTGTGCAGGTAGGTGCGCCTAGGTGTCAGATGATTGTTGCCGCGGGTGCAATGGCTGGTCTCTTAGTAAGCATGTTCGGTTCTATGTTTCCAATGCCCAGAATTATTTATTCGATGGCTCAAGACGGTTTGCTGTTCAAGTAAGCATTCAAAGCACGCGTAAACAGTTTTTTTTCGTTTATTCGCTGAAAATAAAATGTTTATATCGATAATAATGATCACTAACAGTTATTATCATCATTATTATCACACATTTTATATTTTAGATCACTAAGTCAGATATTTCCGTTGACCGGTACACCGGTAGTGGCTACTGTACTGTCTGGCGCTGCATCCGCAGTAGCCGCTCTTGTTATTAATTTGGACACGCTCATCGAAATGATGTCCATTGGTAAGTATCTCAGTTGAAATGTTCACGAACGGATTTCCGGCACGTGTATATCTCTCTAAATTTTATTATTCGAAACATGATTTATTTTTCTAAGAAAACCGTAATTGCGTGTCGCTGTAAGAACAAAAACAACAAAATGTTAAACCGAATATATTACGTATGTTATTTAAATCTTATTCGAGAGCTAAACAAATCCATACAGTTTTGGTTACATTTGCATATTTTATTAACTTAACAGCTGGACCTTATATTCGCATATTGTGTTATATTGTTATCTCTGTTTTATAATATAGCAAATTTTGTGTTAACTTCAATATTAGAGGTAATTGATCTACTTTCAAGTAAACATTTTTATCTGTGTTTGTAGAGTTTGTACTTAAATTTTTGAGCTATTATATAATAATGAATTTTTAAATATATATAAAAAAAATTTTATTCAAAAAAAAAAAATAAATAAATAAATAAATAAATATAAAAATAAATACTTTAAATCGTGTTGTATAGTATATGTATATGTATATGTTACAGATAAAACGTATACTATTTTGTTCGAAATTTGATATGGTTTATTTAGGTATACTATTTATGTTAAATATTTTTGTAAGGGAATTTATTAAAATATTTATGACCATTTACATATGTTTTCTGTTAATTTATAACACAATATGGTTTATTGTGTATACATTAGTTAAATAAATAATTATCAATTGACGAGAGGTTCAATTTTTATAGGTATGATTTATTTTCAAAGTTAATAATTAAGTATTTGTTAATCATAATTTTCTCCTTAAGCTTAATCGGTGTGTATAACATCATGCGTGAACAACTAAATATTTGAATAAATATAAAAGTTAAATATCAATAATTTGGGAAGATATTCAGGAATGTTTAATACTTCAATTGCTAATTTTTAACCGTGTGAATACTCACTTAGATTATCATGTATATTTAAAGTTATTATTTCGCCTTAAAATTTGATTCATCACTTTTCAGATGATCTAGTGAGAGATTAATCTTAATTTTGTTCACGTATTGTGGTATCGTATTTTTGTAGTAACTATAAAGTTTTATTTTTAGTTATGAAATTGTATAGTGTCCTAATTTAGCAAAGCAAAAAGTTTTAAAGTCTTTTATTCAGAAACTTGCTGAGATATACGCTTAAGAGGGTAATATAATATTTATACACTTTCATTTCAATATTTTGTTTAAAATTATATGTGCTTGACCCGTGTACAGAGAACACATTTCGTTTTCTCGAAAATCCAATCTGTGTCAACCTAATGCGTTATGAAAATGGAAATTTCGAAAGTTAGTAGCAATATTATTATAATATTTCATCATTATGTATAATGTATAATATACTCTGTATATGCATATAAAGCGAGCCGATGAAATCTTGAAAGCTTTTGAAACCATATCGGGATCAGTACATAACATCTGAATAGAGATTTGTCATCTGAGAAGTCACCTATATACCATTGTGTTTTGTATTGAAAAGGATTCGATGAATAAAATACATATGATATAACGTGAAACTATACGGTACAATAACCATCCAATATTACAATTTATATATATAGATATATTGTATTTTCGTATTATATTGTTATTTATCGAAATTTGACGGATAGCAGACATTTGTCCAAATTTAAAACAAAAATAACATATTTGACATTTTTCTTTTTTTAGTGTCATCTACGGTAGAACAATATGTTAGATTCTAAATAACTTAGTTAAATTAATTAAATAAAAAACCATAAAAGTATGATTTTGTACTCAAAAAGAGTGCTGTTGTTTTATATAGATATGTTAATTTCATTTATTATATAGTGCAGGGACTAAATTGGAATTACGGTTAATGTATTGTAGCCTCTGAGTAGTTAAAACGCATATACAAAGCAGTTATATAAATATCCAAGTATAAATACGAGTAAAAATTTTTACTTTGAAAATTATTTAAATACAGTGTAATAATAAAAAAAAAGTAGGCAAATGGGTATTATACTGCTGCACATTGGGTGCACATTGGGTAACAAGTGATTTTCTATGATGGGTGTGTCAAATTTGAATTCAATGTTATATCATTCTATACGAAAAACGATTCAAGTGTAAATAGTCTTTCAGTCTATAATATCACTAAGTATATTTCTTAATATGCTTCGTTTTTTTTTTTTTTTTTTGATATAGCAATTAAAACCATTTATTATATTTTTAATATTTAGTATAAATACCGCTATTTATCGTTAAAACAGTAATTTTGTCAAAATTCTAACATCAAACGTGTCAATATAAAAAAAAATTGTGGTCTAATAGATCTATGTATTTTTAATATTTTGCCGACAATTTTTTTTTTATTAACATTTAAAAAAAAATTAATTATTTATAAATAGCTCAAAAATAGTCACCATATTTTTTTAAATTATACCATACATAGAAAAAGAGATGAATACTTGGTGTAAGTTTAAATTTTCTGTAGTAATTCGTTTTTGAATTAAAATAAAATAAATAAAACAATTTAATCAAAATCTGGTTTAGCGTAAAGATTCCTATTTTTCCTTAATTTGTTGTTTGTTTTCCCGAGTACGTATAAAAAAAAAATACTGATTATTTTTATTTTTGACTTATTTTAAGTACAAACTAGCTCTAATTTTCTATCCAAAACCACTCACTAAGTTGAAAATTGGAGAATCTTATTTTATTTATTTTGTATACTATTACATACTATAATACAATGACGTTTGGAAATTAATTAATTACTTGTGGCTTGAAAGAAGACTATCTATAAATTTTAAATTATGTATACAAATAAAAATTAAGTTTCTATCCAATTTGTATTAATTCATATAAATTATATTTAATAGTATATATGACTTAAATAAATAAAATAAGTTAAAAAAACACAATTTGAAAAATATTGCCTATTTAGATACTTAAGGAAGTATTTAAAATACGTATTTGAGTACTTAAATACTATATTTGAATAATTTCACACGAGTACTTTACAGAACTGAATGATTATATAATAATGTAGTATTGTATAAATAAGCCCATATACAGTATACAATGTATACATAGTAGAAATTGCATCATTATATTATTATTTATATTCAATTAATAAGCGAATTTTAGATTTATGAACTAATGATCGACAAATGCAATTCACAAAACCTAAAGTTTATTTACGTATGTAATCCAAGTACTCATGCATTAACAAGCTTTATTCTTTACGTTTGAAGTTTGCCCGAAAGAATTCAAAATAAGTGAATTTCTTGAATTTTCTCACAAAATCGATATTCTAAAATATATTATGTATAACATAAAACACGGCTGTAAACATAGGGTTAGAGATCATAGTAGGATTGGGAAAAGCTTCGAGTATGGCCACAGTAATTTCGGTTAGATAACGAGTGCGTCTATAAATTATATCGTTGAATTATCAATGATTTAATATTATAATGTAATGTTATTCACCGCACGCAAATAATCTAAATGGCGATGACCATTATTTATGTTTCCGTAAAGGCACGTTGTTTGCCTACACGCTAGTGTCGACATGCGTGCTGATACTCCGGTACCAGCCGCAGACGTCCACCGTAATACACTTCTTCCCGGAGACGATGCGATCGCCCATGAACGCGCCCAAACAGATCGTCACCAACGGACGGGTAAACTTTGTAAATATAAAACGACCGCGGTTAAACGAATCGGCAACCACTGACCCGGTCGTATATTGTATGCCGTTTCAGGTGGTGCAGGACGACCAAAAATACGCGTACACGAATCAGGGATACGGTAGCCAGACGTCGTTTTACCAGACACAGTTGCCGCTACCGCAGCAAATCATACCGTCGCACCAGTCGCAGAGGATCATGGTCCGAAAAGTGACTAGAAGGTAAACAAATCTCCATGACGTTAATATTACGTATTATTACATCATGCTGTTTCCATAATAATACTTTATGATCAAATATTATCGAGCTGTGCTGACGCGATACGAAACGTCTATAACTGATCGTTGTTTATTTAAATATAATATAATATATTTACGTAAAATGTTTGTCTGCTCGAAATACATACGGCTAATTTTTTGTGTTTTGAAATAAAACGACGTCTATAATTGGATGTTTAATGGATTTCGGTAGAATTAAATATACCATGTGTTACATTTTAATAAATTCGCAATACCCATGTGTAATAATTGTTGATTTGAAAATATTGACATAGTTTTACGTCGTGGATCGATTTTTTCATATCAGTCACTCTACCCTACTCTCTTTTATGCAACGATAATATTTTACTACCCGACTCGCGTGTACTCTGTTCGTTATTGAATTATGATTGTAACATTTTATTATTACGTTTCTGTCTCTCTCCTACTCACTGTAAATTTGTTCTCTCCGTAATTTATTTTCTCTTCGTTTGTATTTATCTATCACAAATTCAATTATAAACTTCATGCAGAGAGGTGTAACACGAGTTTAAGTTCAGTGTAAACATTAAAACATTTAAGGTTCTATATTATGAGTATATGGAATCATTAGTTATGTGGCCACGCTACACACGATTTTATTTTGCTTACATAAAATCGATAAAACGACGGGCTAAAATCATACAGTATTTTATTATATAACGACTACAACATACACATGCAGCATGTACCATTGTGAGAGTAAAAAATAAACATTAATAAATGTTTGGCGTTGCAATATGGGACACGTACATTTTTTTCTATATGGCCTTGATAGTACACTAACTCTATAATATTATTGCATTCGATTAATTCACATGGAAAAACAGAACGTGCACTTGACGCATTTTTATGAAACTTAGACTAATCATTCGATATAAATTATAGGTTATGGATTTTAGATCCATCATTGCACCGCAAAAATAATGAAATAGTCATTAATTTCAATTTTTTTTTTTTTTAATGTTTCTAAACAATACAATTATAAAAACTGTTGCACATATTATTATGATAACGATTTAAGTTTTTTATGTTTTTGCAATTATTGCACGATACCGTTAACTAGGTATTACCGATTCGAACAAGTACGCAAAAAACAAATTCGTGGTTAACCCAATCCTCCTGTTTATATTACTGTATCGATTAATATACCGATACAAAGCATTCAACGTAACAATAATAGAAAGTTAATCAACAACAGAATTTTGATGAATATTATTATCTTGTTCTGTTTTATCTAAAGTTGTTTTCACAAGCTGACAGAACAGATTAAGCCGTTTTGAAGTTTGATTTTAACAAGTATTTTACCATTAGGTTAAATAGATTTGTCTTCTCTTCTCAACTGTACTAATTATATGAACAACTTACTAAATCACTAATCATTAATCAACATCTAGTAAAGATGATATGGTTTGCTAATGTATGTCTATAATTATGTTATTAATAATATCGTACCTAAATTTGGCATTTTGATTTAATATTCTATTTTTGATGTTAATATTTAAGTTTTATTTGTTAATAGTATAATTAAAATCTTCTAACATTAAGCTATATGCTCGTACCTTTAATATTAAATTAACAAAAAAAAAAAAAATTATATATTTTTATTTTTTTTATTTTGAGCTAGTCATTTGAACGCACACGCGTTTATATTTTTCAAAACTATTCTTCAAAACGGATTTTTATTAATTATTCTTTACGAGAATTGGTTATCATTCAACAAAATAATTACTACCCGGATGATAATTCAAATTTTGTTTGAATAAAATGAGATGAGGTACAAATGATTGAGAATCTGATTAACGAAAGCATAAAACAACTACTATCAGTAAATATTTAGATAAGTAGGTTATAAGTTGGTAATCCAATAATCTTCAACCAAAACATTTCAATTACGTTCATGACAAATAATATTTTATTATCACTGTTATTGTTCGTGTTTGACAAACAACAAACAGAGATTATTATTATTATTTTAGTTATGTGACAGGTTTTTCCTAAGTATTATTTTGTTTTAAATTTCAATACAATATCATATTTGAAAATTTGGTTTGATAAGCGAACGTACTATATTTAGACGTGCACATTTTCCTGTTCTAGACAATAATATTAAGAAATCTGTAGTTTAAATTTTTGAGATTTTATCAACAAAAAGCCAAAAAAAAAAAATAAAAAAATATTTTGTTTATGTTACTATGATGTTTTAAATTACAATATGCATAAATAATGCAATATATTACATAAAATTATAATATGAAACAACAATCTACTATTATTATCTCGGAAAAGAAAATATTCAAAGAAAAATAACCTATAGTCGTTTCTATAGTAACGCCCAGAAAAAAAATGAATCTAATTATTATATATGAAAGAAAAGTGTGAATTTTAAAATGGTACCTAACTTCAAGTGCACTTAGAAATGTTTGGATTGGGTTGGAATTTTTTTTCTCTTTCAAAACGTCGTATGCTTTTCTATTGTCGGAAATATGTAGTACTCCGACCGCCATTTAAACGGGTCGGATCGATTCAAGATTTTTCCAGAACGTTTGCTAACCGGGCATCCTCTTGTCGATAAAATCACAGCGATCGCAAATGTCAGACCCTTTTATACACTCCAAAATGTTTATTATAATGTTGTTCAGAGTTCGTACATACCAGTGAATACCTATTGTTTGTTTCGAATTCGATTTTGAATCCGACCTGCATTCGAGAATATACACTGCACAGTCATCATATTGGTAGCAAAACAATAACGCGAATAGTAATTTATTTCCGACAATTACACTTTTCAGATTTTAGCCGTTTTATCATACTTTGCGATAGATAAAGCAAATATCGTTAGTAACACAGATCTTGGTCATTCGTCTTTAATACGTTTTCATATTGTTTTAATACTAGGTATATAGTTAATGTGCGAATAGATAATGTTTATATCGAAAATTGACTTATCATTTACATGCATAATAATTAATTATATTTAAAATAATATTATATTTTATAATTATATTTATTTTTTATGAAACATCTGAAGTTTTTTTTTTTTTATTTTAACCATCAATGGTTTATTAAATATTAATGAATAAATATATACAAAAACATGTTTGGGTTATCACTCCCGATGAAGAAGCAACATTCATATTTGAATATTTTGTATTAAGTTATATAGTTTAAGATGTATCATATCTCGAGAGTTATCAAGTTTGGTAGTTGAATTGCTACTAAATCTGGATTGATGTGTTGATCTAGTCTTACCTTGTGTTTTTGGAAAAACTTAGTAATCTCGTCCTGGATGGAGATTATTATCAAATCTCTGTGAATAATGTCGTTTCTGTCGTACCGGTATCATACGAAAGTAGTACGGAGAGCAATGTCTTAACAGCAAGGATTGCAAACGTTATAACTTATAATCATAAAGTTTTATTTGACAAAAAATATTGAAATTTGAAACGTAATTATAACGGAAAATGATAAATATAAATAATAAAATAACATCAAACAAAATACAAAACATTATGCAAAACGTTATATTATATAGTTTATAATTAAAAAATAATTAATTTCCAATTAATTAATAGTTATAATTTATAAAATATATTAAAAAATTTAATTCTGAATAACAATAAATACAAAAGTTGAATAACGTTTAAATTCTGAATAACGTTAAACTCAAAATTTGTAAAACTTTTTAATTGTAAATAACCTAAAACAAATTTATTTTTTTTTTCAAATGTAAGCCCTGCTTAATAGCTTAACTCTTAATGTTGGATTGATTAGTAACAACCCCATAGTTTTATTCCATAGGTCCATATTGATTTAATTATCGCAACGTATGAAAAACGTTTGCTTTTAAGGTCTAGTTCAGAATGTTTTTCGATCAGCCAATAAGGTTTTCTCTAGTTATTTTTAATTTGCAGTTTTTTTCGCGAACGTGATGTTTTAAGTTTAATCCTAAGTAGTGGCGTATTCCTAGATATTTTGTTAAATCGTTCTGAGGGTTGATCTGCTGATCAAATATACTGGGCTATAAACATTTTTACGCAAAGTGCAATTTACATGCATTGATTTATGACTGTTAATTTTGGTTTTCCAACACTCAACACTTAGTTCATTTGGATACGTTGTTAAGTGTCCGTTAAAGTTGATCAGTCGCAGTTTGCTTGTCTTCATCAGTTGTCAATAAATTGCTGTGTTATTGGCAAATATGACTGTCATTGAATAGTTAGTTAGAATGTCAGCTGATTACAGTAAGTACAAAATAAATCCGAGGACATTGATTTGTGGTATTCCAGCTGATATGTTTTTCAGTCAGTTATTGCTTTTTCGTAGTATATGGCATCTGTTTACGTAGCTTAATAAGTAATCCTTTATACCAAACTTTATCGAAAGCTTGCGAAACATCAATAAATGCTTTACAGCAATATATATTTTTTTCTATTTCCTTGTTTATTGCGTTTGTTACACGATGGATCTATTCGACTGCTGAATATTTATTCTGGAATCCGAACTGGTATTTAGGGATAAGCTTTTTTAATTTTATTATCAATTTTAATCGCTTTAGAAGTAGTTTCCGAATAATTTTAATTATAATTTATGTCATATTAATATATTCAAATGATCATCGTCACTATATTATTAAAAATCCAGTCCGGTGTGACCCAAAATCAATAAACATGTTGATATTTGTTGTATATTGAAATTATCTATGTTATCGAGAATCATCATATAATATTATAGTATTTATTATTGTTTACTCAGTAATTTAATTGATTTGATGATTGTTAACCAAATATTGTGCATTGTGGCAATTATTTACACACAATAAACTATTAAAGTAAATACTGTACTTAACACTGTAATAATAATAAAAACAATACATCTAGAATTTATAACATTATATCGATCGCATCCTATTTTTTTTTTTATAGAATCTAGTTTCCTTGAGTAATATTCTGCTCACATAATGTGCTCGCGTACGAGAACATTCTAAACACGTTCGACGAGGAAGTCCAACGCCACCATCACTGAAAACAATCAAAACATAATTATTTCACGATATGCCAATCAAGCTGCACAAATTTATTTTAACTACCTAAAAATAGTTACGCGCTTTTAGTTCTTTTCATAAAATAAATTTATTTCCATTCATTTAACAACGTTATTGATTTCGTATAAAACTAATAACCGACAAATGGCAATCACATTGTAATATAAGGTACCCATTGTCAGTGTTCTGTGTGAATAATTTTGCGATCGGAACTAATAAACAAATAATATTACCACAGAATAGATATTACCGTCAGCTGATAGCGGGAAAATGACTAAATCGATAATATTACACAGTGTGGTATTATTACGTCGAGTTTCTATTTAAATGGTGATTTTTTTGCTGCACATGATGCCAATTGCCTGCAAGCGTTGTTCGATAGGTATCCAATTTACGCTGCAGCGTGATATATAATAAATTACGTATATATTTTTTCTACCGTTAATTCAAAATGCACAATCACGCCATGTGGCATGTATTCATTATAATATATGTCACGCGATTCGAGCCCTACTGTAATTTAATAATAATATGTACTTGTACAATGTATATTATTATATTTGTTTTTTAGTTCACCGGATTCGGATGACACGTACTTTGGAGACGATTCCGAGGAAGGACGCGACGATCAATACCTGGTTTCAGACAGATGTGAGAGCAAATTCTATGGTTCCGTGCATGGGGGATCAACTGCTGGATCGACGGCCGCGCCAGGAGGATTCAGCGCGGCCAGTGCCAACATTACTAGATCCATTAAGGTAATAATATTTTTATAAAATCTGAAGTATATTGTTTTAGTATTATCTTATATGAAGCTTTGATGATACATTTTTACAAGCCTCAATATCACTTTAGCATATGTATAATATTGTATTTTAGTCAATCGATATATGTTTAAGAACAAATTATATAAATGCGCGTAAAGAAAAAAAAATATTTAGTTTAAATCCCAATCGCTGACCAGTTGTTCGATTATAATTATTGATAATCAACACGGTTCAATATTTTTGAAATGTTTGGTTATTTGTACTGAATGGCATGACTTATCCATAATATCCAGAAAAAAATTGTTCGAAGAATGAGTATGGCCAAAAAAAATGTCAAATAGTAACAGATTTAAATTATACTTACCATCACAAGGATGTGTAAAATTCTATTAAATAATTCCTCTAACGTTATTAATTTAATTTAAAATGTTGCTATCGTTGATTTTATTAATTTAAAATATTGACACTTACAAACCAAAAAATTTATTCTAAAACTTTTCGAACACACCTTTAGGAGCACTATGAAAATAATAAATTATCAAACACTAAACAGTCTAACGTCAAAACAGTCACGATAACATAATATTATTCGTCGTGATATAATATTTATAGCTACTATGTTTTATGACAATTTTATTTTATAAAACCACCGACCCGGTATTATTATTGACACGTGTAAGTTCTTCGACAATATTTCACTATAATAATACATTGCTATTTTATCCAATATCCATATACCGCAACGCAGCCATTGACACAAGACTACCGGGAATGCACCACATCGTTATAAATTATTATATTATACAACGAAAAAACAAGGGGTCGTTGAATCGTGTTTAGAGCATATTATTACAATAATAATAATAATTATAGAGATTTTTAAACAAAATAATAGTTAATGGAAAATAATAATATCGCAAAGTAGTCCCTTTCGGTGAAAACGCCGAATAATATGTTGTTGAAGGTATGGTCGGGTTTTAGTTGATATAATACGAGTATATGTAATGGCACATTACACTCAATAGGTAGATATAATGCTATAGTACGACAGGAGTTAAAAACAGTGGACGAGTTGCTGAATCGAGGCCTATCAGCTAAAGATTTAGATACTTTATTGTGTTTAAGCACTTAAGCGATCAAATTCCACGCTGTGTCAAATAATTATTCCCAAATGAGTTTAGTCGAAAAACATTCATTTTACTGAAGAATGTATCTCCTATCCCACGAAATCCAATAGTATAGTTTTAAAAATATGGTATTCGCAAAATATACGCTATGGGTCGGTTGAATTCTCTAGTGTCTATAAATATTTAATATGGTAATGACTGCTGCAGCCTGTCATCCACCAGCTGGTAGACGTAAATCTCGCTAAATGTAGGAGACAATTTTATTATAACCTTTACCTATTAGATAGATAGTGAAAAATATGTATTAATGATAAAGCCTATTTTTTGTTAAAATATTTGTACAGTCATTTGTACTCGATGCCACGGGGATATTATCGTACGCGCGTTAGTGTAAATGAGCGTTGAAAAAAACTTTTACTGTAGTATACTTCAATATAATAATAAACGAGTAATATTATGCAAATTACAAAATCTATTTAACATTGCCACAAGTAAACCATTTTTTTTGTTCTACGAAGAGTATTTTTTTAAATTTGTAATGTGTATTACGTATGCAATGAATACAATATGTATCTGATATATACTTAATAAGTATAAGCTTTTTTTTAATAAGTTAAATATTTAAGAAAAATGGGTAAAAATTAAGAAAAAAGAAGCAAATAGAGAAAAAACAATAAAAAGCAGGTTTTATAAAAAAAAACAAAACGAAAATTTACTTCATTGAAATCAGGACGATTCAAAATATATTTATACATTAATGTAATTAACTTTCTATTACACTCTTCTCAAAATAAGCATTTGCTACAAAATCCAAGCCCTAATAATAAGTAAATAAAATAAAAATATATTGTATGTTATTAATAGAGAAAGAATAATTTAAAATTATTGCACAGTTTAAAACTATGGAAATATTTGTAATCTAATATGTTACTATATAATACTGTTTCACAATTTTCACTCATACTCATCAAGTTCCAAATTATAAACTTCTATGTTGACAAATATAATAAAGGCGTTATTTTTTACTAACTACACTATTTTTACGATCCGTATAAACAACTTTGAACTTAAGATAACTAACACCCACAGCTGTAGTCTGTAACTTGTAGTATGGTTCCTCAAGCATAATACTAATCCTCTCCCCTCAAACACACACGCATACATTATAAATTATATTATAGTTCATAATATATTTATTTAAATGTTAGATTATAGAACTTTTTAGTAAGTGTAAATATTCAGGAGTATTCTGCTGTAGCAGTTCAATATTTTTTTTCCAAAAAAGTTCCTCCTTTTTTATTGTAAATTATTTTTTTGAATATATTGTATATGAATTGATTTTTAAAATTCCAATATATCTAAATTTAAATTCAAATCTGCAGTAATTTCTGAGTAATCAAACATCAGACTTGATTTATCTGAACGAATGTATAATTAAATCACAAGAGAGGAGATGGGTAGGGTTGAGCATGTTTGGTGAATTAATCTGTACAATGTATATAGCGATGACGGCTCTTTTTTTTTTTGCACGTGTTCTTATTGGTCTTTGTTTCCGGTGTTCGGCATCGCAAAAATAGGCCGCCACGTACTTGTGCCCAGCCATATTCCCGTGGGTAGACACAGGACCGGCCACCGAGGAGAGCGGAATGGTGGTGCTCAAACTGGTCGGCGTGTTTTACGTACTCATCATCGTGTTCGACGTGCTGCTAGTGTTCGTGTCTTCCGAATCGTCAACATTCGTCTACGTCCTGTTGTACGCCCTGCTGATCGCCGTAATCGTCGTGCTGGGAGCTATATCCCGCAAACCCCAGAACAAGTGAGTGCCATCTGCCAATGTATAATAATATATTTAAACATATTAATATTTAATCGTATCCATTAATATTATTGCATTTTTGTCAAATTATCGTTACAGTCACAGTTTTCGGTGAGTAACACAGTTCGATGTGACTAAAATATCCAAATCGAATTACATCCGTTTTCTCTGAAAATCGTTCCACGAAAACTCGTTCTGTAAATCGTTATTATACTCATGGTTTTAAATAAATTTAATGTCTACTTTTTTAATTTTTTTGACATTTATTTCCAGTTAGGTATGCATAATATATTCTGCCTGTTTATGTATGAAGCAAATGTTAACAATGTCTTATCAATTTAGTTAAAGATACTAAGCTGTTTAAAAATATGGATATTTAATAGTAATATTATTATGATAAATATAAAGCATATCAGAATAACATGACGTTTTTTTATTAGATAATTTCATAATAAATAGTGATAATTTGTTGTTTATACTAACTAAATCTATAAATTTAAATTAACCATGTATTAAATCAATTTCAAAATATTAAATTGCTATAACATATTTAATTACTAGAATGATAGGCACATATTTCATGATTATTAATTGTGTATTTGATTTTATATTTATACATTTGAAATCTCTTCTATATAGTTTAGATAATCTGTGATATTACTGAAACTTCATTGAATCTCGAAAATTGTTATTCTTTTGTACTTAAAAATATTATAATATATATATATATATATATAAACAGGCGTATTCTATCTAATTGAAGATTAAAATAGTATAATATTACATAAAAATAAAAACTAAAACATAAATCTCATTATATAATATCACTTAAAATAGTTCACATAATTTATAGACATTTTGTTTAATTATGACAATATCATACAAGCTATGGTAGTATTAGGTTAGGTTAACAATATATTTTAATTATTGACTAATATATTTTCTAAATTATTATCATTAGTAGTAACATATATTATGTAATAATACATAGGTACGTCATAAAATTAAAATTAAATTATTATTTCGATATGCCTGTCTTCAATTCGTTACGAAACTTTGAAACGCGTGAATAATTTGATTTGATTAATTAGTTTTAACTAACTTGTTTTTAGAAATGTATTTTAAATTGAAATTTTATGTTTAAATATTTTAGCCAAGAACCCCTTAAAGTACTCAATGTTTCACTCCTTACAAATGCAATTCTATAATGTTACCGAAACCCTTTCTAATTTCTAACCTAACCTAACCATGTTACATGTATACATATTCTGAATCTACACGCCTTCCGCCATACTTTTTGATGTCAATAATGTATGTAAATAATTATATTTAACACGAATTCATATATAGAAATTACTAACGCTCGGATACATATCATAATTGGATATTTGTATGGACGTTATACATTATGTCTCGATTAAAATATTGTAAATAATTTTATTAAAACAAACTATAAATATATAGATATAAAATAAAATATATGTTATACATAAATTATTTTATAAATGTTTTGATGTTCATTGTGATTTATGACAGCCAAAAGTTATAATACATTATACGTTTTGTTTATAGATAAAAAAAAAAAAACGAAAAGGAAAATAATTTTTCAGAGGCTATTTCGTATTAATTTATGTTAGAATAAAACGTTCCCTTAAAGTTTGGCTTGAACTTGATAACAATGCGTAAGTAAATATATGGTTCGTCAAAGAGTAAGTGCAAGTTGCTTATATATATATATGCTTGTATTTTCATAAAGTTTCTACAATATTGTTCGGTTTGACCTTAATAATAAATTGAATTCGATTAGCTTCCACAAAATGGAAATATATTTTGATTCTTTTCACTCTTCAACGAAAGTTTGGGGAAAACAAAACTTTTGATCATCGTTTTTGACATCTAAACAGTTTTGTGTAGAATAATTAATATTTTAAATTCTAGTTAAGGCACATAAATTCAAAAAGATAAAATTAAAATTGTTGTACTTAATATACCTAATAGTTTAGTATTGTATAATTTATACCTAATATATACGATAATAATAATAAAAATACACAGTTATAAAATAATTACAATAATCCTACATTTTACATTTTATTACATAATTGTCTCAATTATCGAAAAAAAGAATCGTTAACCAGAAACTAAATAACAGTATGTAATTTTGTTTATATGTGTATTGATATTATCATTAAAGTAATTTATTTTACTATTAATATTACGAAAGTTTGATTAAATTTTTATCAAAAACATTACATTTATTAAATTATTAGTACTTAATTGTCATAATAATATAAATATGTGTACTATAAAGTATATATTAACATTTTAGTCAAAACCAACTTACCGGAAACAGTGCAAACAAGTTAAATATATATATATTATATAAATAGGTAATATCCTAAAATTAATCTACATATTTTAAAAATGTCGTTGCGTAAAGTTAAATTTGAAATACATGCAAATGTTTTGAGACCCTACGAATAATTTATTTAAATGATAAAAAAATTATGAACATCATTATTCATCGTTTAAATATGCAATTCCATCAAAACTTGAATTTAAAATTAAGTCATACATTTTCAAGAGTTTTGACTCAATCAATAATTATTTAAAGACAGAAAAAAAGCTATAAACAAGTTTTAAAAGTCTATAAACAGTAAGAACGTTTAGAAAATTATTTATATATATATATTACATTTTAAATTATTTAAACAAAATCTTTGTTAAAACAAAGTGTTTTTTTTTTTTTTTTTTTTTTTTTTTTATTAATTACATAATTAGATAATTAAATAATAAAATAATAAAATATAAATAGAAAATTATACTATGAATAGTATGATATCATAAATATTTGGTGAACATTTTAAGTATTTAAATAGTAATTCATTTTTGAGTTACAGCATTAAAACAAAATCGATTAATCGAATATTTGTATTACGTAAAATTTCTCATTATTCTTATATTTTTTTTTGATTATTTTAATAAGGAAATTTATTATTTTTGACCTTCGAAAGGTTAGAATTTCAACATTTTTTTTTTCATAAACCTCCCCTAAAGTTGAAAGTTAAAGCATTTTTACTGTTTTAGTGGTGTTGCTCCAAATGGCGACAATAAACACACGTTATTATAAAATTAATGCATTCATCTCTACTCTCAGAATTAAAACTAGTAAAAAAACTATATCTAAATAATTAAGCTGTGAATTTAATGTGTTATGATACTGTGCATCTGAATACGTATTATTTTTGTGTAAGGTTTCGGTGTGTTAAAATTAGCGTAGGTATTCGTAGTTACTATGTCTTGTATTTTCATGTTGTGTGTATTATTAATTATTATAATTGTGCTCAAAAATAGTATACGTATTGTACCAACATATATAACCTAACACGGAAAAATACAAAATGTCTTGCTATCAGCATTCTATACTACGGAACCGTTGCAGTTAAATTGGATTAAGACTAACACAAACTTAATTCAAATTACTCACGTTTAGACAATTTATTTATTTATTTTTCTGTCACGTATTTTACTTTAAAAATTAAAAATTTTGTTGTCGAAAATGGAGATTGTAATGTAGCTATAAAAATTTTTATGTTCGCGTAGGGAATGCGATGTATAAAAATATAAAAATCGAAAAGTAAGCCAAATAGTTAACCATGCTTTATTTATTAGTTTCGAGGGACGATTTTATACAAATTTTAATTAAAACCCACATGACCCAATTACTTGTTTTTTAAACATAATCTTTTAATTAATAATGTTTAATATAAATAAAATTTATTTATAAATAACATTGCACTTAAAATATTTATTTATTTTTTCATCTAAAATTCAAGTTCATTGTACTCCAAATATTTAAGACCGTCAATCATGTTATTAAATTATTATTGCAATTCTTCGTTACAACCGATGTAGTTTAACTAAAATAAAGTCGTCAGAAAAATTATTAAAAAAAAAAAACAAAAGTGTCTCAATGCTTTGGGAAAACTCGATGTCTAATAAAAACAGCCATCATCATGATATAATATTAAACTTCATGTTTCGACAATACATTTTTTTTTTTTTTATTTGCTTATCGCCTGCTATGACGGAAGTTGTAAAAATGTCAGCTCGGAAAAATATAACAATATGGAATTCCACCTTTTTTGTCTACGCAGCATCATTATATAAACTTTAAGTACATATTACTATTCGTATGATTTTATTATATTCTCGCACTTGTCTTATTACTGTCAAAATTAAAATTACTCTGTCAATGATATATAAAATTATTGTATGAAAATAACATTTTAACGATATAGCGTCTAGTTAGTACAAACATTTATCACTCATAATGTAACAATGATGAAATACTATTCATACATTTTTTTAAAGAAAAATGTATTGCCATTAGATATTATATATTATATATATATACGTATATATAAACGTATCTAAAAGTATGTGGAGCTATACGAATCGTCAAAATCAATTAAAAAAAATAATGATTCATTGCCGTATTAAATCTCAAGTTAACTGTTACAGATATTTTAGATTTAATTTTGTATTGGTTTATCGGTGTTCACAAATATACGCATATCAATATATTTTACGGTATTCTATTCTATATATTATTATGTAAATGTATAAAAACACTATACGTTTGCAATAATAATTATTTACAAGCATTGTACAGCTGTTTATACTTCCACGTCTAGAGTATGCTTGAAAACACGAACTTCATAATAGTGATTATTATATTCTTATACAGGCTAGCGAAAATATGTATTTCTTTTTAAAATGTCAAATATTTTGCAGACTAATTAATTCATTTATTTTTATTTTTTTAATGAATGATCATAAAAAGAATAACCCAGTTGGATAACGTACCATAAAGAAGTTGTATTATTGTACTATTGTTATTCATTTGTATTTTTTTTTTAAGTATTAAAAAATGTATTATAATAACGGTGACTTATTATGGATAAATGGCAACTTTTAAAGTATTTTATATTATTAGTATATAATAACATTTTTTTTTCGATTTTAATTGTATTCAACTAACGACTTATAAAATATTTTATTGAAGAAATAAAAGGTACCTATTTATAATATTTAATAATATATGTCTGCACTTTATCGTCTAATCTTCGAATTATACTATTTGAAATTCATGGAGTATTAACATAAAAAGGACTTAAAAATGACACTGTAACTAAACAAATACATTTTTGTTGTTTGTATAAATTTTAAATTATTTATACTGTTTCATTCTAATTTTACAGACAAATACTCGTTTTCAAAACACCATGGGTTCCATTCGTACCGTCATTCTCAATTGCTGTCAATTTATACTTGATATTTCAGCTGAGTTCGATGACTTTACTTCGGATAATCGTATGGGTTTCAATTGGTATGTATACAATATAGTATAATATTTTTAGTATGAGAATGCATTAATTTAGTTTGTGGTATAAGACATTCATATAACATGTCTTAAACGTAAAGTGAAACATCCAATTTATTGAATCCAACAAAATATAATTATCTTAACTAATCTAATTATGAGATATCTAATTATCTTCCGTTTTTAACTATTTTATTAATTTCATATTTTAGTAGAAACGGATATAATTTATTTTTAAAATTAGTAATAAAAAAGTTTCATTATCTTAATTCTTTATCCCGAAAAAAATATACTTCGTACGTTTTTAATGTTTACATAAAAATATATTATTTTAATATTTATTTCATTAAATGTAATTAATTTTTTTGTTATTATTGAGTGTAGTTATGCAGCTACGTAAAACAAGTAATCTATTAATTTTATTTTCATTTTTGTAACTGTTTTAAAAAGTAATATGTTAATATAATAGAATTAAAAATATAAGTAATATACCTGTAAATCACCTTGATAAATATTTGTAAATGTTTGTAGTTTGACTGCACTTAACTTATAGTTTTCAAAAATGTGAACTTAAAGTAATTTGTCTCTGTAAATTTGTATTAAAAATTTTTGTTAGCAATAAGTTTTTCCAAAGCATTATACTTATTCGTTGTATAATTGAAAACGTACAACTGTACAAACTATACTTTTAATATTTTAAAACGATTAATTTATTTCGATATTTCGATGTAGATTTTTCATCATTTTCAGCTTTTAAATATATTTTAGTCGAAGAGAAATTGGTATAAGAAAGTAGTTCCCAAATAATAGGTATAGTTATTTAAAAATAAACTGTATTTATTATTTATAAGACTAGCGTGGTTGAGAATTTCACAGCTTGGAAAATCACACCACTGTATCCAAGTAGCATTTAAAAATTATTTTGAATCCTTATATTATCAAAAAATGATCCAAGTTTTCTCAATAATAATTTAATTTCAAACATTTTACTTTCGCATCTAAACGGATTGAAAACTATAATTTATATTAACAAGATTTAGATATACGTTTGATCATAGCCATTTTTGAACATTGTTATTTAAACTCTTTTGTAAAGCAAATTTATAGTCATAAAAAATGTATTAATATTTATTTTTTGCACTTAAAATGTTATTAAATTATATTATTATTAAATACATTTAAAATTTAAGAGTTTAAGATTAGGTAGTCATAATGGAAATGTAAAGTTAATTTTTAACTATATTGAATATTATAAAATTTGGTGAAGTCTTTAAATAAAATATTTAAAAAGCTGGTGAGTAACGAAATTTCAACTAGAAAGCCTAAATTATTTAAAATTATTTTATCAGTAAACAATATTTTTGATGCTACTCGGACAGTCGCATGTTAGATCTACAGCCAATAAATGCGGGCGCAATTTGGTTATGAGTCATATTTATAATTCCACAAATATTTGTTTATTTATTTTTTAAGCAATTGATAAACTTTTAAGAAGTAAGATAATTAAATATAAATAAATAAATCATACTCGATGTAGTAAAAATTAATTTCTAATAAATGAGTAAATACTCAATAATTACGAATAACAATAGTGATTAGATAATAATTATATTCAATTTCAGGTTTTCACAAAAGCTTTTATAGGTGGAAATGTGTTCTTTTTTTTTTTTTTTTTTTTTTTTTTAAAGTGATCGCAATACCTCAAATAAACATCGACCTTTGTGATACACATACACTTATATATGCACAATATTTTTAAGCTGCATTATTTGAATATAATAACATTTGATATAATAATACTGTGTCATTTTTCCAGGTCTATTTGTTTACTTCTACTATGGTATAAAGCATAGCACGTTGGAACCACGGGTGGACGAGGACGAGAGAATTGAACTGAAAATGAAATCGCAAACAACGACGATGACAAAACAACAAAACAGTCGACCACAAGCCCCGGCTTCAATGAAGACTACCGCTAACTCTAACACCACCTCCACCAGAGTCACCTCCACTGCAACTATAGTCGACGAGAAGACCGAACCGAAGAGGCCGACTAACTTAGAACCGTTACCCGCCAACAAGGAGAGTAATTTATTTGTGTCACCGTCCGCGTTCCCAAAGTGGGAAGACTAGATTGACTGACCAAAAAATTGAAAAAAAAAAAAATAAATAAAAATAAACGTTTTGTTGACTCGACATAGAGACTTCAACAACGTTGTGTGTAAATAGGGATGTAAAAAAATAAAATAACTACTTTAAAACTTAAAATTATATTATTACGATTACAAAATCAATTCTTTGGGCTACCAAAATGACTATAATACACTATAATATTATGTTATTTATAACACGTATAATACGCGTGATGTTTTTAATATATTCTATTATCTAGCTAATATTATTATATAAATCGATAGTATGTTATGTATTTTATCTGTCAAACATAAAAAAGAAAAATGTCTTATATTAACACGGACGAATTGGATCGAAAAAGTTCTGAGTTATTTGATCTATTCTTATCACATCGTCGGGGCTCGTTTATTGGTATGCATTTCAATGTACGGTTCAATACATTGCTTTTTTATTTTTTGAATTTACGTCAAATCATGTCTCCCCTGATGATTGACATTAACTTTATTCTATTATATACTAACTACTAACTTCCCTATGATCACGCATCATTATAGCTTATGTAGAATCTATTACCTTCCCACCCACTCAATCGTTGTTCTTCAGTTTTTATTCTAGTCATCTTCTCAAACGTATAACTAATATAATTATAATTCTATATACGTTGCCTCTGCAAGTGTAGGCATTAGTGAAATTCACAGTCCAAATTCACCATAAAAATTTACAGTAAATGATGTCGGCAATCATTATTAGCACGATTTAAAACGGTTTCTCTTGTTTTTACGGTTAAATTGAGCTACGTGGCCCGAAGAGTTAACAAAATGTAACCGTGACATTACTGACACACTAATGATCTCTAGTCGATATTGATTTTCATTAACTTGTGCTATGTTCATTATTGTTCAACTTTCATAAGTATTACAATGCGATTGACTATAATATAATGGTGTATTATACGTACAGGTATTATAAAAATATTTTTTTTTTTTTTACTCACAACACAGTATTAACTTTTTTTTTTTATTTATTTATTACAATTTCCAAATTATTTATAAAACAGTGCCAGTAATGATTGATTCTTTCTACAAATCATTCGACTTTACGCAGATACCATTTTTTAGCTAAACGTATCTATACAATATTGTTACGCTATCATCCTGCATTACAATTTATAACTGTAGTGGAAAGACTTCATTTATACCTACCCTCCTACCTATAACTGATAAATCAATAATATTTTTTTAACACGTTTAAATAAACCGTCGACAGTTTTATGTTCGACAATGGTCGTTTTCCTTTAATGAAGGATTTCTATCTATATTATATACGCACTCAAAATGAGAAGTAGTCAGGCATGTCTATACACTCAATACGAGTGTGTGTGTGTACGCGTATAGTTATTGATTAATATTAAAACGCAAACAGCTTTTTTGTTTTTTTTTTTTTTTAATTGCTAGACGTACTATAATTCATATTTTATATCGGGCCCTGACATCCGGTTACGTTATTTCGTCCCTTTATTCAGTAATAATATTTTATTGGAAGGCTGCCAATTTTGTCGAAAAAATCCTTCTCTTGGTCCACATCGTATACACAACGGTATTGCAGGTGGATTTATATAATCCCGAAATCATTTTCAAATAGACAATGATTTCCCCCGTAGGTTGGACATAATATTATATTAAATTAACATATTATATTATGATTTATATCACAAAATATAATATATAATATATACATTTTTATTATATATGTTAACAAAACAATATTTGTTTGTTTTTATTGTTGTGGCAAGACTGGTTTTATCGAATTGTAACGTAAAATAATTTGAAATGTTTTAAATTTGTTAAATAATTATTATATTTGTATTTGATTGGATATAGTTATAGAAACCCCTTTTTTCAGTGGTCGTCAGGAATAGAAAAATAATTGAAAATTAAGAAATTACCATTTCGTGCGTACACGATAATAAATTATATATTATAAAATTATACGCGGGAATATAAACGGGATTAATAAGCAGGAAATACACAATTAGTTGGAAGGTCAATAACAAAGAGCATACCCCATCACACGTGGTTTGGACTGTAAAGTGGTAGTTAGAATAATTTCGGCTCGTTGTCTGCTGGCGACCAAATTATATTAAATTCCTTACTTAAATATTATATAAATATACTATAGTGTTTTTTTTCCTATTAGTAAGTGAACAGGTATTATTATATTATGTATTTTGAAATTAACATTAATTTATAAACTATTTACTTCATAAATTCTTAGTGATATATTATAGAGCGTGTTTAAGTATTACTTCTAGTCCCTAGAGTATTAGAATATTATATTATACGCTTTCAAAATGGACGTTGTCGTGCAGAGGTTCAAATTTTCATCTAAAATTATTATTATGAAACATAACATTGTATAGGGTGTATATTATAGTAATTATTTATAAAATTGATACATTATATTGTAACGGAAATCATTGCATTTTTTCTTAAATTGTTTTACGTGCCTTAATTACACAACGAAATAATGTTAAAATATTGCAACGTATAAGTATGATAATGTTTATTGAAAAAAACAAATATTTGTACTTTTTCATAAATTGTATGTCCACTTGGTAATTATTATTCTTAATTTTATTTTTGGCCTTTTTACTAATTTGGAAAACTGCACAAAAAGTACAATATTATAAACAAAACAAGTATACAATTCAGGATTTCCAATACAATTAATATCACAGTGCCATTAATTTAATGCCAATTTATTATTATACGTACATTTTGTTCGGTTACCATTATTATAATTATAATTATTGTTATTATTATTATTATTATTATTATTATTATTATTATATTCATTATTTATTATTTATTTATTTTTTTTATTGTTTATTTTATAATATTTGTCACTTTTATATTATATGTATTATTGTTATAGTTACTATTTATCATTAACTTCTAAGCATAAAAAATTAAAAATAATCTTACTGACGACAGATTAAAAATGGAGATAAAAAAAATCCTGAACATTGGTTTAATATTATGATATTATTTACCATTTTGAAATCCTTGAAAATTAAATGCGCGCAATATGGATAAATGGTTTTGCACGTTTAAAAGTTATAAAATATTCTTACTTCAAGACTTTTCGTTTAGGCAAATGCAATAGTGATATCTGTAATTGGAAGAAATTCTCATAAAAATTCCCAAATACTTAATTTGTTTTATGGCGTTTCCGAGAATAACACACGATTGCAGTTAGGTTAGAATAGATTAGGTTGTCTTAAATATCTTCAAAACGAGTAAATAAGTGATATAACAAACGCATTGTTAAAACCATTTAATGTCAGCACAGCATATACCGTATAGTATATTTTATACGAAGCAAATTAAAAATTTAAATTATCACCAGTCTAAAATATAAATCAATTTTTTTTTAATTCGTTTAAAATAAACAAGTATGTTTCGATTGTTTTTTATTTTATTGATATCGTTATTATTATGTGCCAATTAATATGTAATTAAGTCGTCAGTTCTTCTTATGACCGCAAAACAGTGCATTAACAGTATTTTTGTTATTTCTGGGTTTGTTCTTTTCAATCCGAGACCTATTAAATTGTACGGAAATAATATTACAATTGTACCGGTGGCGATATTTATTCAAAAACCAATCCATTTTGATGCACCATTTAACGTAAAATAATCAAAATAAGTTTTTGACATTCATTTTTCTTCCTAAACACGATAATCAAATTAAATGATGATATAGTATTATAAAAAATATTTCGCACGAAATAATTTGCAAACAGTTAGTTAGGAATTCGAAAAAAAAACCGTCTAAACTCAATTAGTATCACTATTTATATTTTTGATTTTCAATTGTTTACTTACCATATTGTTAGTGAGTACATTTACTAAATTTATTTTTAGTTATAGTTTTTAAACTGAAATGTGCATCCAATATTTTCAAAAATGCTGCTCTGGTTACATAAATAGTATATTTAATTGATTTATCAGTGTCTTTTAAATAAAAAAATAAAATATTTAATACTAGGCGTCTTGTAAAGACAATATTTATATTATATAGATTAATAGGTACCTATAACCCAAGTATAATTCTTATTATTATTATCCTTCACATTTTTATATATTACATTTACATACAATATTATATACATATATATATATATATTATGCCCAAGCATTTAATGTTGTTTAAAAAAACAATTGTTATTATACACTTTACATTATACATATAAATAAAAAAAATAATATATATATATATAATATTATATAAAATAGTTATAAACTTTTAAACTGTTTATCTTTGATTTGTTTTTCTAATATTATTATTATTATTATTATTATTATTATGATTATTATTATTATTACGTCTTTTATCAGACTTTCGAACATGTTACCTAATAATCGTTATTAATTATTATAAATAATAAAGAAATTTAAGAAATACATTTATGTAAAATATTATTTTTGCATACCTACTTTATGCAGGGAAATTACTTAGTATTCGAGTACTATACATATATAGAAACAGATGACATATTAAACGTATTATATACTGCCACCAATAAAATAGTAAAAACTAATTTATAAACAGCTAAATAATTAAATTATGTAGACTAAAAATATAGTGAATATTGTTAATTCGTCTGTATTAAACCATTTATTATTTATTGATAACTTATGATAACTTATACTAACCATTTGGGGTGGGTAATATAAAAAAAAACATAATATTGCAACTCGTTAATTAAATTTGTATACATAGCTTGTACAAATATTGGTATTGAAAAGATATTTGTTTTTCGTAAGTTTTCTAAAACTATGTGTGTTTCACTCGTATCAAACTGTAAAGTTAATTAGTAATGATGAATACGTATGGTATTATTAGATAGTAATCAAAGTAAAAGCTCGATATAAGTAGGCTTGGTGTATAAAATATTTTTAATTATGTATAAAATAAATAATAATATTTTATGTAATGGCAAACATTATTTTAATACACTACGAATAATACATTTTAAATTAGATGCAACAAAATAACAAAAATGTTCATTTTAGGTTTTTAGGTTTTACACCCAATGTTGTTAAAATGTCTACTTTAATCTCTTATAAAAAAATGTGTATGTCACTTTAAAATAAACTTTTTTTTTTTTAACCCAGTTAAAAGAACTTATGAAAAACCTTGTATTATATTTTCAAGCTTTTTTTTCAAACTAGATATTTCATCACACATAAATA